CAATATGGCATCGCGCACCTTCCATGCCGTCATCTGTGAGACGTTCAGCGCACGCGCTATCTCCATGGTGGACGCATTCTGGGCCACCAATAGCTTGGCCATCGCATATTTCTCATCATCAATGAATACGTTCGGTTTGCGTGGCTTTTTGCCCGGCTGATGATGAATCTGCGTCAGCGATTGTTGTTGCTGTTGCTGCTGCTGCTGCTGCTGATGATGCTGCTGGGCAGGCGCTGTTACATTGCTGCTGCTGCTGCCATTGCTAGAGAGCGAGCGAGAGAGAGAGAGAGAGAGAGAGAGAGCGAGAGTTAGACAGAGGCAGGAGCTAAAATAAATCAATAGTTGAATCACCGTTTACCTCTCATTGCTGTTCATGGGTGGCATGGAGCGCAGGGACAAGTTGACTGGCAGCGCATGACTGGAAAATAAATTGCATAATTAATTAGTTGCATATCGATTGTTATGTCACACAAGCAGAGAGAGTGAGAGTGAGAGAGACAGAGAGAGAGAGAGAGAGAGACAACTCTATGCCGCAAGCAGCCTCATCAATTCAATGACCTCAAATAGCGTTTGCAGAACTAAAACATTCAACAAAAAAACAAAAATTCAATTGAACTCTAATTGAATGTTGAAAGTTCAAATAAATGTGCAGAAATCTGATATTTAACATTGCAAAATACAATGAGAAAAGCAAAAACTACTCGCATTGATCAGATTAAATGCTGAAAAAGCTAAACAAAAATTCTAAACAAGAAATGCAGAACAAAGAAAGAATATTTAAAATTTACAGGAAATGAAGCTGACAGATGTACAGATATATACAGATATATATAAATGTAGATATAGATATATATATATATCCTAGGGGTGCAAGCTATGAGCTTCAAAGACATAGAAGCACTCAACACAGCAAAGATTGTAGCATTGGCTCAGAGGGGGTCACAATAGATACAATTATAATAATAATAATAAAATATATATTGCACATGCAGAGAGAGAGAAAGAGAGAGACATGAATAACTTTAGTTGTTTAGTTGAGTATTAGAAATAACACTGTAAAAACAGTTTGAAATCGGAATTGCTTAGCAATTGTAATTCAGATGATTATTTTTTATATGCGAACTGACATGCATTCGGCACAATGAGCGCTGACTTATTGTTAATGTTGATTACAAACAAACAATGAATAGATGAAGACGAACATCGGCTCGTTTCTGCCACATATGCAACACTTACTTGGCCGCAACGACGGCGGGCGGATAACGCGTCAACATCGGCAACGCTCCACCATTGTGAGCGACCTTCTGCTGTTGTTGCTGTTGCTGCTGCTGTTGTTGTTGCTGCTGTTGCAGCTGCAACTGCTGTGCATTGACAATGTGCGGAAAACGTTGCGATTCGGCCAACAGGCGCTGATAGGCCTCAACGTCGGCGCGTGCCGGCAACATGGGTGGTGACGGGGACACAGAAACGCCGCGCTTCGACGGACGCTCATGATCCAGGCCGCCATCGAGGCCATCGCCGAGTGGGGGACTCTGTTCGTCCAGCTGGACGCGCATATCGTAACCGTTGTGCAACAGGCCACAGACATCGTCGTCGCCGGCATAGCCAGCCGTTTCCTCGGCACCAATTTCGCCGGCGCCATCGGTTTCGCCATCGCCGCCAGCATCGTTGCCATCGGCAATTAGGTCATCGTCAATGGTGAGGCCCGTGTGCTGCTCATCATCGTCGCTGTCCAGCTGCTCCTCCTTGATGAGGCCCAGATTAAGATGGGTATATGGCTGTCGCTCATGCTCCTCAACCAGTTGCTGCTGTTGCTGCTGCTGTTGCAGTTGTTGCTGCTGCTGTTGCAATTGCTGTTGAAGCTGCAGCTGCTGCTGCTGCTGCTGTTGTTGTAGTTGCAGTTGCTGCTGCTGCTGCTGCTGCTCCTCGGTGGCCTGGTCGACGACACGCTCGTGCAGGCTGACGCCATTGACGAGACTCTTGCGCAGTCGCCAGGCAAATGTGCGCGAAATGTTCAGCTCGTTGGCAATCACCGTTGTGGTTGCCTCCCGCAGGATCAGCTGCTTGGCCAGGGCTATCTTCTTGGCGTCCAGCTTGATGCGAGTGCGTCCCTTCCGCTTGTTCGTCAGCGCCAATCTGTGGAAAAGCAATCAAATTGTGTATTTGGCATTTGGCATTCATTCAATGCACTCACTTGCGATTGTTCAGATGCTGTGCACCATTGTCCGGCGGCGGTTTGCGTGGCGCCATTCGCTTTGGAAAGTTGTTGAACTGCACAATGTTCTGCTTGAAGAGCTGCTGCAAAGGCCTGCAACAAATTCAACCAATATTCAATTCAATTCCACCAACCAAACTAAACTCGAATCAATATTTTGTTCAAGTTAAGAATCTATTGTGACCCCCCGCTGAGTCTATAGCTACTCCATCAACACCAACTGCTGCAATCTATGTCTCATAAGCTCATAACTTGCATCTTCTTCTAGTGAAGACATTGAGGCATTGAGGACTCCTCCCAAAAAATGCCTAGTTTGGTTAGGTGACTTCTTAGTCTAGAATGTGCCGTCAGCAGATCGATGAGTATCCTAAGCCTGTTCTTTCCTATGGTTCTTCCCCATTTGCTTAAATCGTTTATGATTATAGCCACCCAAAAGGTATCTGGCTTGTCGGAGTCCTGGTGTCGGCTGTCTTTCATCGTTTCTAAGTTGCAACATTGTAATCGAAAGTAAACTGTCTGAGAGGATATTCCGTTTGCTGTATAAGCTTACTCCTGCACCACTACTGCTCCTCCTCCTCCTTCTTCTAGTCTACTTACATTTTGGCGGCCTTGGATGGGCAACCGGTGCGCTTGTGCCATCCCAGATGATGGCCGGTGGGAAAGAGAACATGGCAATCGGAGCACTGCATGGGTCGCCTGCAAATGACCAAAAGAGAGGGGGAGAGAGAGAATAATAAGTAATGCTGGCGGGGATTAGGGACTGGTTGAGTTGAAGCACTCACGTCTGATTGCGTCGCTTCTTGACGCAACGGCCGCGTCGAATGTGCTTCTCGAGGAAACGCTTGTAGAAGTAGGTCTTGCGGCAATTGGTGCACTCGTAGACAGGCGCCGGTGCACCATGGACGCTCTGCATGTGCGCCTTGAGTATCTGCTTCATCTCGAAGCTCAGATAGCAGTGCGGACACTGGAATCCCCGCACACCCGTCGCATGGGCGGCGATGCCACCGTTCACCACCAAGCCGGACATCGATGGATCTGTGTCGGTGCCAGTGCCAGCAATCATGGGCGCATCATCGGAGGGCGTTATCAGCTCAATCTCTGGTATCAGCGGCAGCGTCATCTCCTCATCATCCTCATCATCGTCATCGTCGGCATCCGCATCCAGTTCGTTGCGGCTGCTGCTGCCATTGGGAAACTTATTCATCCGCTGCTGCATATATTCCTGCATCAGGCGTATCGAATTGAAGGCCACATGTTCCGGCATATCACCATCCTCGTGCAGCTCCTGCTGCTCCTGCTGTTGCTGCTGCTGCTGCTGTTGTTGTTGCTGCTGTTGCTGCTGGTCATGCTCATGCTCATCGCGCACCATCTCATCGTCATCATCCTCTTGCTGCTGCTGTTGCTGCTGCTGCTGCTCCCTGACCAACTGATGGCCATTTGTGATGGTCTTGGCAGCATGCCCATTCTGGGCATGGGCATGGCGTGTCTGTGCCTCGCCAGCTTCCCGCTCATTGCCATCCGCATCCAGCTCACCCATGCCCATGCCCATGCCAGCGATGAGCTCACCGCCATCAATTTCGCCATTTGCATTGTCGTTGTCCTCCTCCTCGGTGTCGTCGGAGCTGCTGGTGCTGCTGCTACTGCTGCCGCCGCTGCTGCTGCCGCTGCCACTGCCACTGCTGCTGCTGGCGCTGCTCTTCAATTGAACGACCCCACTAACGATTCCGGTTCCTGCACCGGTTCCTGTACCAGTTCCTGTACCGGTCTCGGCCTCGCCACCAACGCCAGCCGGCGTCGTCTCAGTCTGGTCCTGTGCGGTTGCGGAGGCGGCAGCAATTGTTGCAATCGGTTCGCCCGTATGACCGCCCTCGATCTTCTTGATCAGCAGCTGCTGGCGATAAAAGTTGTCCGCATCCTCGCACTTCTTCTTGAACAGGCACGCCGAGATGGCCGTCTTCGCACAGTTCACGCACACCTGCTGCGGCAACGTGTCATTCTTGGCGATCTGTGCATGAAACACATAAAATGGGTGAAATACAAGTTGACATCTATATATAGGAAACATATATATAAAATATATATCAAAGACTCAAATAGACTGGGAACTTTTCGAATTATTCGAATTGTCCTCCATAAGGCCTTATCTAATCTACTTATTTTACTTTTATATTCAATGCGATATGCTTTAGTTGGCTTCAAATCAAATTGTATTATTTATATATATATATATATATATAGCAAAGATAATATCTACTTTTTCTTTTTTTGGCTTGAACAGCAAAAATCAAGTTAAACTGTCATCAAACTTGCTAAATTGCAGCTTGTAAATATCAAATAAATAAAAATAAATTAAATTAAAAAAGCAACATAAAAACTTGATTTAAATTATCTAATGAACATAATAGATTTTTGTCAAAATATTTCATATGCAAATTTTATAATATATTGTATATAAATGATATATATTTTTCACACTTTGACTTTGAAAGCTAACCAAAATAAAACAGTCGAAAACGTCTAAAACTGAAACGGAAATAATTTAATAATATGTTAAAGTTCTGCGTAGCTTTAATTAATCAGCATGTTGATTTATTGTTATGAGTTGTTATTGTCTCAGATTAATTTGCAACTATTTTTAATTTTAAATCCTGAAAAATAAACACTAAAATTTAAAAAAAAACACATTTATGGTTTGATAATGTTCCCTTCATATTTATGTGTATATTTTTATATATATATATTTTTAGTTAATATTCTTTTTTATGTAGAATAGTTTACAAGGTTTTGTCGACTTTATTTACAGGTCGACGAACTAAACCAAACCACACTCGTACAAAGGAACAAAAATAGATCTAAAAACAAAAGCATACAAAAAAAAACAAAAAACAAAAAACGAAAAAATGGAAACAATAAACGTCTTAACTGGTTTTTTTTTTTATAAAAAATTGTTTTTGTGATATTTATTTAATGAACAAAATAGAAATAGTAGATAGAGCTAGAGATAGAAATAGAAATACAGATAGAGATAGAGATAGAAATAATCATGCTCATGTTCGTTATACAGAAACCTTGATATGGAAAAACTGTTTTATTTATTTAAGAATTATCAGAGCTACAAACTTAAATACATACAGACATACAGACAGACCGAGTACGTACTTATACATAAGCGTATGTATGTATGTATATATATGTATGTGTGTGTGCGTGTGTATAATATGTATATAAAGTATAATAAACGCGATCTGCTGCGATCTCATGTTTCCAACTAGTAGTCAAGAGTAATCCAACGACTTGCTCCATAAACACAAAACACAAAAAGCAACAACAAACTCGTAATAAAAATGATTGTTATTAAAAAAAACCAAAATGAAAGAAAATAATGAATAATGAGAAAAATGCAAAAATGAATAAAATGAATTAAAACGTATAACGTATAACGTACAACGAATAACGCATAAAACTAACCCGTTGAAATTGAGCAGGCAAAAAAAAAAAAAAAACAGAAAAACATTTCACATTCAGGAAAAATTACAGAAAAATTATTATAAAAAAAAATATATATATGAAAAAGAAAAAAGAAAAAAAAATACATGAATGGAATGGAATAAAATCAAAGCACAGCAGCCGCAGCCGCAACCGATGACGGTGAACGGAGGAGTCGAGGAGTACAGTAAAAAAAAAAAGAGTTCCCGTCGTCGCCGTCCACTGCTGCTCCGACGTCTTCGTCCCGCCCCATTGGGGGCCAACGAACGTCTAAGCCGACTAAGTGAATGAGTCCCGCATGCCGAGGAGAGTGCGCAACAGCAGCGAACGAGCAAGCGAACGAGCAAGCGAACGAGAGAGCGAACGAGCGAGAGCGGAGCAGCGATACATAAAAAAAGAGAGAGAGAGAGAGCACAGTTAACTGTGCGAGAGAGCGTCGCTGAAGAAGAAGAAGCAGCAGCAGCAGCAGAAAAAAATAAAATAAACACGGCACAAAATTGTAAAAGAAAAATTTATGGAATTAAACCAAACATATGAATTATACATTCACATATGAAATAACCCAGGCATGTGCATACATATGTATGTATGTGTGTGTACGAGAGAGAGAGAGAGAGACGGAGAGCGACGACAAACAAAAGAAGAAGAAAAATTAAGCAGGCAATCACAAACGGCAAACGGTAAATTATTTTACAAAAGCAGCAAACGAAAGAAAACTAAATACAAGAAACCAGAAACAGCACAAATTCCATATATAAAAAAGAGAAAAAAAAAAGAAGAAAAAAACAACAAACAAACACAGACACAGACAAAGACAATAAACCAAAAATATGATTCCTTCTCTGAAAACCGTATAAGCCCGATGTAGTATAATTCATCGTTTATACAGCTGGGGTCAAAATAAGAGTAGTAGCTGCTTCACTCGATACACTGCAATTACTTGATACTTTTATAATCCCTTCGATTCCTTTCACAATTCTACTCCTTATATTTCTTTATCAATTTTACTTTGTTTATCTTCCAAGTGTCGGTTGAAAATAGTTTGAAATATTTCAAACTGATCGAGTTGTTTTTTTTCTTTATATCTTATTTCCTTATCTAAAATCATTCCATAAAAATATGACTCATTTTATGGTGATAAAATGGGGCGTGGCATACGTTTCACGGCCGAAAATGGAGAATTCTTAATTTAATTCAGACAAGCAACAAATAGTTGGTTGCTCATCGTCGAATGATTTAAAATACTTTTTACAATCGAAACTTCTCTGGAAAATGATGATGAAACATGATATTCTCAGAAATATCTACTGAACTTAGTTTGAGAAACAGAAGGTGCGAACTATTCTTAAATGGAATTATTTTTATAAATAGAAACCTTTGCCATCTGGCAACTAGTGCTGAAACTGATAATAAATAAGCAGATAAAAGTCCAAAAACATATTGCAAAAAGTTTACTGTCTAAAAAGAATATTTTGAATTGAGCAATGAAGAAATTAAGGAACTTTTTCTTTTTTTTTTTATTTATTTTCGATTGTTACACAGTTGGATCAATATTGGCTAAAAGAAATCTCGGATCGGCACCTATATGTTATAATAATATAATATGTGACTAATGAGATGCCATTGATTTGGAGACTCCAAGAGGGCAACGATTCCAAGTATACCAAGTAAAGTCTCTGGAGAATCCAAATCTCAACTCGACTGAGAATTTGTAAAGATTGTTTTGGGAAACTTGGACATCGATTTCTCCAGAAATAGAACAGATTATTTCAAATTTCTACTGGAACACCTCACAAAGTTCCATTACTATTCAGCTACTATTATTTTTATCGGCTTATTTGTGATCGATTTAAACACTATTTAAATAGAATATTTATAATTGTTTTTGTTGACCGCAGCTGTATATATATGTATAAATATATAAACTAACCGAGCTGAACTCAACTGAAACTGATCCAAAGAAATAAACAAACAAATAAGACAAACAAAAAAAATAAATACACAAAAGCAAACGAAACGAAACATTTTTTTTTTCTTTTTTAATGTCAGTTATTGTGAAAAAGACAAAAAAAAAAAAAAATGTTGTGAATTGAGTCTATTCTATGAAATATGTTAATACATAAGTAGGTATATATCTTTAACAAATATCCGTACATAGTTGAATACATAACACTTTGGGGAGAAACTTCTTCACATCAGCAGCTTCACCTGCTTCTTCTTCTTCTTCTTCTTCTTCGCATATTACAAATAAATCGCAGGAGCGAACTTTAAACGCAAATGTTGGCAGTGGAATTGCTCAGCATTTCAAATGTTGCCAATGATTGCCAGCTGTCATATTCTATATATAGTCTTATTCAACTTTAATTTCGATGAGTTTCGCGGCCTGTGAGTGCTAAACAGCATTTTCAATAGCCGTATCTCAAAACTAAATCTAATATAAAACTCAAACAATTATGCGACTTTGTAAAATTTTATATATTTTTTCATTTTGTTACGGTCTACAAATATTTTAATTCTAAATAATCAATGTACATGAAGCGAGTCGAAGGTCTAAAAACCTAAACAAGGATTCTTGTCGCATATCTTTTAATTTTCATATTTATTCTTTGGTTTATTTTTGAATTTCGAGACTTGAATTTATTTCGAGCAAAAGCAAATCTCGTGAAATTCTAATCAGCTCTTTCTCAAATGGGATATGTACTCATTGTTTAAGTGTTGTAAAATTCCATATTCCCAATATTGAGTCATACTCGTATATATATAGAGTTTGAGGTTAAATTGGATCTGTTTCACAAACAAAAATCATAGTTGGAAAATCATCTTTCTGACTGCTGTGAATAATGAGTATTGAAATTTAACAATAGAAAAGATACGATTATAAGATTTATAAGATATTTTGAATATATTTGTGTAATACTTTTGCTAGACAATTGTTATATCTGTTAAGGCTTGTAAAAACTCTACTTTTTCGACCTTATTAAATTGTTTCAAAATTCAAAAAGTGATAAACTGATTGATTTGGGGGAGGGTTCTCTGGTCTCTTACCGTAATATTAACATCTGATTAGGGGGTTGGGGTGGGGTGGGGTGTCTTCTTACCTTAACATCAGCCAATGTGGTGATCTTTTGCCAAAGCGAATCCTCGCCGAATATGGATATCATTTGCATTGAGCTTGAGTTTGTGTGCGATGTGATGCAAATGCGACATAATTGCGGATTGCATATCTCGGCGTCCATTTTGGATGAGGTGAACCGAATCCGAAGAATCCGCCACGAATCACAAGCACGAGTTCAAATTGCAATCGGAGATGGAGATGGATATGAATATGGAGTTGGAGTTGGAAACGGAGTCCGACAACTGGATGTGAATGCTGGACGAGCAGGAGGCGGAGTTGCAGTTGGAGTTGGAGGCGGAGGCGTTGGTGGAGTAGGCGTGTAAGCAGCCAGCCGGCCAGCCAGCTAGCTGCATGCCAGTTCTTCTCCTTAACGGGCGTCTCACTCCCGTTAGTTAGCCGCGCTCCCGCTGCGACGACATCGGCGCGGGCACGGAATCGAAGTTCTTCCTTCCGCAAAGCAAAACAGCAAAACAGGCCAGCAAAAAAAAAAAAAAAAATACGAAGCGCAACAAGTGGCACGCTACAAATTCGCCGTGTAAAGAGTTCGAGTGTGTTCTCGAAATGTGTTTGTTGTTTTCCTTTTCTTTTTCTTTTTTTTTTTGTCTTTGTATTTATTTATTTAGTTTATTATATTTTTTATTCCGGGGGAAAAAAATCAACGACGGAAAAACAGTCACGCGGTTGAAGTGGCGGCGATTTGTGTACTGAAAATGAATACAGAGAACAAGAAACTATTTATTAATAATGAGAGAGTCGGAGAAATATGTATGAAAAATACATACGACGAACACAAAAAACAAACGTAGACGAAAACTAAATAAATAAAAGTAAGAAAAGAAGGAAAAAAAAAATTGGAATTCAAGAAAATAAAAACACGCATACAATAAAAACACACACACACACAAGCAAACAAGCAACAACCCCCCCTCCCTCCACCTTCCAGGGCCCCTCTTTGTCACCTTCAAGCTACCCAATCTATATATGAGACTCGAGCGTTTTTTATTATTGTGTAGATTCAAAAAACAACAACAACAACAACGGTAATACAATTCTTACTGTCGTAGCCACACACAAAGATACGAACTTGATACACACACACACACATGCACGAGCGCAAACGAAAATAAAATTACACAAAAGAAAACAAGTCAAAACTAAAAAAAAAAAAAAAAAAAAAAAAAACAAAACTTAAAAACATGCACACACACAAACACACAGAGAGAGAAAGAGAGAGACAGTGAGAAGCGAACAAATAAATAATAGCAAAAATCGTAACGAAACGAAATAATAAAATAAACTCTATGAGCCGGATGACTGCTACTAAAGGAGGGATGCGTTGAGCGCACGTGGTTGAGGGAGGGGAATGGGGGGTGAGGTGAGGTTAACCGCCACAGAAACTACAACGATAAATTTATATGTTCTCTTGCGCCAGCTATCTTGCTCTCCCTCTCTCACACTCTTCGTCTCCTCCCTCTCTCTTCGTACAGCTCTCTTTGTATACATTGCCTTCGAAAAGGGTAAACAAGGATGGTCAAATGAGGAGTGAGTGGGAGTGCGAGTAGGAAGGGTGAGCTTGTGTGCAAGCTGGAAGCAGAAAAGTACGCAAACTGCCAAGGGCAATGCATCCTCTGCTAAGAAGTGAATGCAAAACAGCTGCCCATTTTACCCATTTTACTACAAGCAAAACTTCTGCTGCTGCTGTGTACAAAGCTTGGCCAATAGATTCCAGCTAAGAAAGTTTGAGAATTTTATGCGAATTGCACATACAACCATAGAAATGCAAACACGTACTTCTATATACATATATATATATACATAAAGAAAATGCAAGAAATGTGAAAAAGACCCAACTAAAAATGCACTTGGTAAAATTGCAGCCAAAAATTCGCCAAAAAAAAACACGACGCAGACAAAAGCTAAAATCCTTAACCCGATTCCAGATACACTGCACATAATTAAAACACACACACACAGAGACACACAGGCAATTTTCCAAGCAACTATTTGGAAATGTACTCGCTGATGATCGACACTAAAATGCCAATGCGTTCCAATAGTTGTGCGCGGAATGTGAAATTCCTGTAGTCCAGTTCCAGATTCAGTTCCAATGACAACGCTTCTTGTACTATTCAAATGATGGAAATCAAGCACAACAACAAACACAGCAGCAGCAGCAGCAGCAACAACTGAGAGCAGAGAGCGAAAAAAAAAACACACGCACAGCAACAACAACAACAAAAACAGCAATTGCAAAGTCAAATTTGGATGCGATCGCTCGGCTCGCTGGGATCGCGATGAGAAGAAGAAGCAGAAGCAGAAGAAGGAAATCATAAGATCTGGAAAAACTGCAGTCAAGTCTCAAATAGTAGAAATAAGAACATGCAATAACTACGCGCAAACGTTTACATTGACTCAACACACACACACACATACACACGCATACAACATACAGTGAGCAGCAACGACCTGGAAACTGGAACTGAAAACCCAACCAATTTGCAATACATATTTGTACGACGAGTACTTGTACGACGACGACGACGACGACGGAGACATACAATGTACAATTCCCGTCGTCGTCTCTTATTTCTTGTCTGAATATAATAACTACAATATACACGTTAGTAGACTTACATACATACATACATAACTACATATATATGTGTGTATGTATGCATGTATGCACATGTATGGAATATCTGTATAATTTATAAGCACACACACACACATGTTTGCATTTATGCCCTGCCCGCATATGGTATATTCAATCGAAGACCCCTCACCACCCCCACCCCCCTCGGTTGGCTCCCTATTCCAGCCATTAGCATTCATTGTGTTGTCCAAGTCGAGTCTGCAGCTCAACTTTGAGTCTTTTGTTTAGAGTTTAAAATAAAATTAAATAAAATTGAAACCATAGTAAAGAAAAACAGCAACAGCAACATCAGCGTCGACGCCAACGTCGACAGCGACGGCGACGTCTTTGGCAGCGTTGCTCGCGGTTAACAACATATGAGGAAATATTACAATTTACAACAACAAACAAGATTCGTACATGCGAGAAGAGAAGAGACGAGAAGAGTGCAGCATGGATAATACTAGTTGAAGACAAAGAGCGAGCAACAACAAAAACAGCAACCGCCGGCATCAGCTAAGAGCGTCAAATAACATAAGAGAGCAAGAGCGCGAGAGAGCCGAATGCTTTACAACTAAATAGTAATGGCAGAAAAGTCAAGAAACTCAACATTTGTCCGCTGTTGTTGCTGTTGCTGTTGCTGCTGCTGCTGCTGTGTGTGTGTGTGTGTTTTAATGTTGCTGGTGATGTTGGCCCGTTTGTTGCTTTAGTTCTTTTCAGCGTGCTAAAATCGTAGTCGCAGCCAACTATTAAAGAAATAATAACAACAACAACAACACCAGCAGCAGCAGCAGCAGCAACAAAGAGACGAGAAAAACAAATACTCGCTACTTACACTTACTATCCATATCCATACATATAACTCTACACACACACACACAAGCAACTCTCTCAGCGTGCCTGTGTGTGTGTGCACGTACATTTAATACTTAACTCAACTCTTGTCGTCGTCGTCGTCGTCGTTGGTCTGTGTGCTTTAACTTTTTTTTATATATTTTTTTTTTTTTGCTATTGTACAGTTCTACAGAAAATTTATACAACGCACGGACGGTGAGTGGTGCTGCCAAGGCGCATAAGAAGGGGTGGGCGGTGGGCGGAGTACGTACAATTTAATATTTGTGAGCATATTTGCGGACAGCTAGCGAACATAACACGAACAACAACAACAGCAGCAACAAGAAGACCACGAAGAAGAGAAGGAGAAGGGAGTAGAAGAGGCAGAGCGCTGAAGACTTGGAAGAACACACATCGCTAAGAACGAAGACAAAGTTGGCGCACTGATAGATGAACACACACACATACACACGCACAGGCGTACATTGTTGCTTGGTATGTGTGTGTGCGCACTAGATAAATTTTAAACGCTGTCGTTGACTTAGAAAGTATATATTGAAAGAAATAGTACGCTTCTTCTTACACTCTGTGTACCCGATAGAATGCGCGAAAAAAAGAGACAAGTTGTGCGCATATAGGAATTGTCTGTCTGTGTGTGTGTGTGTGTGATAGAAAGAGCCAATAGAGAAAAAGAATGGAAAAAGATGAAGACACAATCAAGAACAGCAACTTGAATGTTTCAACTCAGTTGCAGATGTATAATAATAATTACCATAAATGTAAGGTCAAATTATTTGTCTCTTAAATGCACCAAAATAAAAATGGCATTTGTAGTTGTGAAAAGAAGAATATAGTTTATATAAATTATATATGTTGTTTGGAAAGGGTATTTAATGGTCGGCGTGCTTTGGTTCTGAATTCAATTTGTAATCAATTGCAGACATCAAAAATTGCTTGACTTGTATTAAGTTTAGTGAAAGATTGATCTGTTTTTTTTTCCAGTGGGTGTATGTATATATATATATATATATATATATGTGTGTGTGTGTGTGTGTGTGTTTGTGTGTGTAGTTGTTGCTGTGCGTGGTAATTACATGCTCACGACAATGAGAGCCTCAACGTGGAACAATAATTTACATGTACTTGCTATAACAATGGGTCCGGAAGAAGAGATGTGAGCTTTGTGTGTGTGTGTGTGTGCATATATTTATTAAATTATAGGTGGGTGGAGATACAAAGTTGCATAGAGAGACAGACAGTGAGAGAGAGAGTGAGTGAGAGAGAGAGAGAGACAGAGAGAGCAAGCGCGAGTGTTTGTTGGGGAAGTGGAAATTGAACACCTACAAAAAGTATAATTGCATGTATGTGTGTGTGCGTGTGTGTGAGCATACAAAGATGTAAATGTATGTATGTATGTGTGTATATCATTAAAGACTCGACTTGATCCAACTGAAGATTGACAATCGCATCATGCGTTATGTGTGTGTAAATAGGTGTGGTCCCAAAACCAGAATTAAAACCAGGCAAAATGAGTTTAATAGCATGGCATATATATATATATATATATATATATATGCATATGTATGCATGCATGCACATATATTTATATCTATATATATACATATGTATACACTTGTATATTGAATGATATTCAATCGCTAATCGGTTTAGAGTTGTAGCAATATTGTGTAAACATTTTCCGCGTAACAAACGAAAGTCATCAAAAATATTTGTATATATTTATTGTATACACAAAGCTAAAGGCAAAGTTCGGTTTATGTTTCTCATAAAAATAAATAATTGAGAAATGCTTTAATTCTGTAGAAATCGAAAATGGATACAGCAAATGATGCAAATATTAAACCAAAAATAAAGCAAGAAAAAAAAGAGTTGCGATTAAATAAAATAAGTATAAAAGCATTTACTACACACACACGCAATGTATGTGTGTCGCACGTGGGGGAGGGGGATTTCAAGAATGCGCAAAAGCGAGCCAAAAATAAACAATGCTGATAATGACGATTATGATAATTCCAATGTTGATGATGATGATGATGATTATGGCAACGACGAACGTGTAACCCACGTAGGAGGAGAATGCAAGGCAAGATAGATGCTAAAGCAGCCATCAGGCAGCAGAAGAAGTTAAGCCAGTAATCGCCAATCGACAGCATTGACGACTGCCCAATACTCTGTCTCTGTTTGCCGCACAAGAAGTTCTTTTAGAAGCGACGAGATTTCAAATATACTTTTACATATTTTGCATATATGTATATAATTAGACTGGTAATATTTTGAATAGAGAACTCTTTGCAAATTGAAATTATTTAAGCAACGTGCCTGTGAAGCGTATACGCTCTTATGCGCTTCTTGCACAGAGTGTATTGTGAAAAGCTAACCAAGAACTGCACACAAGCAAAAGCTAAAGATGCGTGTGGGCGGTGGGTGTGCTTAAGGGAACGGAATGGAATGGAATGGAAAGGTAAAGAAGATGCCAGAAGCAGGAGCGAGACAAGCTGAGAAGTTGAGAAACCAAAACTAGACGAAAACTTGGCAATGGCGCAACGGCAGTGAAGATAAGCACAAAAACACACACAAACACATAGAACGACAAAAATGGGAGAACTGGGCAAACTGGGAACTGGGAACAGAACGTAGCGCATAAAAAGTAGCAGGCGCATAGACAAGTTTATCACAGCAGGCAGGCAGCTTGGCAGAGCCATAAATGATGCCAAAACCAAAACCAGCAAGTCCTCTCACCTATGCATGCACACATATCCAAATATATATATATATATATAGATATAAATATATATATAGATAGATATATGTATATATGCTGTGCAACTCTCCACCCAGTTCTCAGCCCCATCATCATTATTATCATCAGCATTCGACGTCATTAATGCAACGCAATGCAAAGTTAAACCGCAAGTAAGAGCAAAAGAGATATAAAAAAAGAAAACAACTACGTCAATAGCAAGTCGCACTTGAAATGCCCTAACCTAAATGTGACCCATAACAACAACAACAACAGCGTTCAGGCAGCAGCAGCAGCAACAATGTAGAAGCATAGAAAGCTAACAAAACATACAAAAGAAAAACTATTTCAGCACTTTTTTTTTTCTGCATTGCATTTCGTTCTTAACTGAAGGAAGGAGCGAGTGAGTAAGCGAGCAAGTCGCTGCTGCTGCTGCTGTTTGGGGCCTGGCTTGGGTTGCGGAGCGCGCAAATATTAAAAGAGAGGCGGATTTAGAGAAAGAGAGTGCAGCAAGAGCGCTTAATATACACGTGCAATAAGTGCAATTACCGCACTCACTGCTTCAATGTGTGAGCGAGAGAGTGATAGTAAGTATGTCTCTGTATGTATGTGTGTGAGTGAGTGTCTTTGCCTGTGTATGCGCCTGTGTTTGTGCAAGTTTTATAATTTTATGTAGTTTTTTTTTTTTTTAATATTTTTTATTGCAAGCATTTGGTTTACTCTCAGCTATGAGTGTACATAATCACTTTGACATGCACGTTGTTGATAAGCCACAAAAAGGAAGAAGTAACTGAGATCTTATCTTTATAAAAATAAAAAAATAGTAATGCATATGCAGGTGTAAATAGTAATGTATGTATATGTCTATATACATACAGATGCACAGTGAGTTGAAAAATGATTGACTCACATTTTTCTCACTTTTTCTTATGCAAATTATTTGTTGTTGTAAATAATAAACATTTATTAAATAATGCTGACTACATTCAAAAGTTAACATTTTTATTCATTATAATATTTGGAATTTTTCTTGGGGTTTGCCTTAATCCATGCAATAAATGTTCTATCATTTTGCATTCAAATACCGTCCGAAATCTTATAAATATATCCTATATATTTTTCTAGTTTAAATTTAATTTTATCTATCTTTTTTGTGTTTACTGACTTTAGTTGACATTAAATAAATAATAATAAATAAACAATGAATTGTAATAGTTTGCTGGCACACTGCATTCATTGTATTCTAAATAGGTATACATAAAAATATAGCTGTTGCACCTGTTGCCAATATCGCTATCAATATTTGCTTGTATTTATTGTTTCAATTCGATATATCTCAATATGGCGGGCAGCACCTGCTGGCAGCGTATTAAAAGCTTCGGTGTGACGCATTAAAAATTAAATACAAATAATAATGCTCCTTCTCGCTCTCGCTCTCGCTCTCTCTCTCTCGCTCTCTTTCTATCCTGCATATTACTTTTTATGCGTTCACACAAAACTTGAGAAGCGAAAAACAAAAACCGAACGACATTTTCTGTATACGCGCTGCAGTCACTGTTAGCGTCGCTGTCGCCGATGCCGTTTGTTTGAACGCTGCAGTTGCTGCACTTACTGTTGTTGTTGTTGTTTTATACGTTTTCTTACTGCACACATTTATTTTTTTCTTTCTTCATATGCATTTTCATGTGCGTGTCTATGTATGCGCGCCTGTGTGAGTGTGTTTGTGTGTGTTGCCTCGGATCAAATTTGTTGAATTGTTTATTTAGTACGCTGTTGTCGTTGTTGTTGTTGTTTTTTTTTTCAGTTATTGTTATTATCGTTAGTTGCAGTTGCATTCGCTCTCAGCGCTATTGCTGTTGTTGTTGTTGTCGTCGTTGTTGCTTTGCCGCTCATTCGTGTACATTCCGTCATTTGCCGTCTCGTTCGTTTTTGGTATTTGTAAATTACATAAATTGTCTTGGACTATAAATTACGGGAAGATTATTATGGATTGCTGGTTTGGCTTTGCTTGTGCATGTGTGTGTGTGTGTGAATATATGCATGTGTTGCTATTGGTTGTTTTTGTTGCTGTTGGCTTGGTTTGGTTTTGGTTTTGGGTTTGCTGCTTGCATCGATGAAACGAACGCAATAACCACAACAACAACAATGTATGTGGGTATTTTTTTAGCGCTTTTAGAAAGATCCGCATTTAATGATACTTTGTGACAAACATGTACATGTACGTGCCATTGAGTCAGCGAGTTGAGGATGGAAAATGGATATGGTAATGTTAAATAGCAAGTTTTGCATGTGTCGTAAAATGCCAAGCGATGTTTTTGCTGCTGCTGCTGTTGTTGTTGTTGCTGTTTTTGCTACCAGGCAGGCAGACAAAGGCAGGCCCAAAGGATCATTAAAAGAAAAAAAAAAGACAACAAAATAAAAATGGCTAAATGTGCAAAAGCGGCAAATGTCTTTGAGAATGCGTCTTTTCGAGCTGTGCTCGTGTTTCTTTTTTATCTCTGCTGCTGCGCAGCTAGATTTGCAGCAATTGGCAAATCTGCTAAATTCCAATCTAATTGGATCCACACATCTAAGCTACTTCCAATATATTCCAATTGGTAACTGTATTAGATATGTGCTGTTCGTTGACAGCTGGGCGCTGATTAATCGATTTTATAAATCGATGCATGTCTAATTCAAAATGCTATTGAGTGTTCCAACAGTGTTCCAACACTGGCGTAAGACGTAAGAAAGTTACAAGTCGGCTACAAGAAAGAATGAAAAGGCGAGGTCACTGTGCTGGAAAACACTAACTTTACATATACATATACACATACACACACACACACACACATGCATGTACATGTTTGTAGAATGGATGCATTAGAGATGGACGCTTATCGGTTTATTATTCACGACACGACACGAACACGATATTTTGGCAAAATTAACAACTTCACTTGGAAAAAAAACAAATAAAAACAAATCTTTAGCGCTAATGGGACTATTCAAATATATATATATATTTATTTAATGTTGATCAAAAAAGTATATTAATTTAAATTGAAAGTTTGCGTTCGTCTAGAATTTTACTATTTTAAATTGATAAAATTTAAAGTTCATTTAGAGTGCAACTGGAAATTTCTGACAATCATCAAATTTCACTTAATTGAATTTATACGTACGTATTTATGTATGTGTATGTATGTGTATGTGTACATATATGTATGTGTGTTCGTTTTAACCTGACGTTTTAGTTTTTATCATGTGGGTGATCAAATGCGCAAAGAGCAATAAAACAAATACAAATACAAACACATACACAAATACATAGACATCAAATTCTCTTCACATTTCTTGGGTATTATCAACGTAATCTCTGCCTCTGCCTCTGTCGCATGCTAAAATACTTACACATACACACACACACACAGCCACAGAAAGACACTCACCTACAAAGACATACTGACAGAGAGCGAACGCGCTGATTTAACGTAACTATTCCAGTGGCTCAGCTTAAGTGAGCATAGTTAATAGCAAACAACAATAAGAACTAGCGAAAGAGGCAAAAAGCAAATGCGAGGCAACAGCACCGGGGCCAAAACACACACACACACGCACGCGCGCACACAAACACACACGACAGCAGTAATAATAACAATAATAAATTGAAGAGTTAAACTAATAACGAAACATACACACATACACATACATGAATACACGCACATACATGCATACATATGAATGTTCACAGTCATATCTATAACTCAGTATGGTGTTTGTATGTAAAGTAAACGTAACACACACACACAACAAGCATGCATATGTACATACCTTTATTTAGTCGAAATTGCTATTTATTTTCTTCTTCTTCTGCTTTGGCGTGCCTATGGTTTTCTTGCTGTTGTTGTTGTTGCTGCGATTGTTATTGTTGTTGTTGCTGTTTCTTTTTTACTTATTAGTTTTTCACACAAGCAGAATTAATTTGGAATGTGTAAAGTTGCTTTTTATTGTGATTGTTATTGTACATGTTCGTGTATTGTATATTTATTCATTTATTTTTTTCTTTTTCTTTCATTTATTTATTAATGTATAGTTATTTATTTATTTGAATGTAGACCATATGCAGTCGTTGAATTTTAAAAAGGAGGTCTATTTATGTGTGTATGTGCGTGTGTGCATGTAAATACACACAAACATATTACATATTACATATGTGTATTTGTAATTTGATGTTATGTGCCGTTTTTTATTTTTATGCTTACATAAATCTCGTTGACAAATCGTTGATTGAAATTGTTCTTTTGCACCTGCTGCACATCGCCGAACTGCACTTTTTTTGGTCGTCAACAAAAAACAAAAAAAAAAAACACACGAAAAAAAAAAATATTTATGATTAATAATAATGCACATAAAACACACTCAGTCGATTAAAAAATTTCATTCAAAAATGTAAACACAATTCAAAATGCGCTGTTGTTGTCGTCGTTACAGTTACTGAGTTGTTTTGAGTCAAACTACGCCAACTGCGACGCAGCAGCGCTAAACACAAGACGTCCGTTCACGGCAAATATCCAACAAGACAAAACAATATACAAAAAAAAAGAGAAAAAAAAAACAAAAAACATCACAGCACACGATGAATGAAATGCGCAAGGTGACGTTTTTCGCTGAGTATTCAGCGTCGATCTCTGAGAGCGTGCGCTTAGTGACGTCACGCTCATTGAATTTTAAGATAACACCCAGATTTATTATTCACGTTGTAAAAACGCTGATTATGTTCCATATTTTTAAAATTTAAAAAAAAATACATAAAATTAAGAAGTACATCATACATATGTATTTGTTAAGTTGTCATTGAGGAACTATATATTTATGACGTCATATTTAACAAGCTCTTTGCGTTACCTTTTAAATGTTGAGCTGTTACATGATGTTACTGTTAGCTCCCTGTTATATTCAAACATTACCAACATATATATCGATAACTGACCCATGCTCATTGTAAAACGATAACTATTTTCCACGATAGCAACATTTGAGGCTCGATAACACGATAACGACTGTTGCCTTAACAGATTCTGTTAAAGTAAATTGTCAAAAAATTAATTAACTTCCGCAACAAGAAATTATGGATTAAGTTAACTTGGTAAAGTATGTATAAATATGACCATTAACATATGAAAAATTTAATATTTCAATAATTAACTAACTGACCAATTTAAAATTGGTGTTTAGTTAAAAATATGTCGTATTTATTTATACAAATGCTATTAGTTGAATTAAAATATAAATAATATTTGAGATATAAAGCAATTTCAAATTAACTTAAATCAAAGTTTAAAAAAATAAATAAACGATAATCGATTCACGGTTGCCCATGCAGCCCTGCGTGCCACAGTCTGCACTGCAACCGTGCCGGCTACATTTTGACAATTGGAAAGGCCCCCCCAAAAAAACCTGGAATTCACTGAGCGCCAAAGTGAGCGAGAGAGAGAGCGAAATGAGCGAAATAAGCTTCCATGCGAAATACTGGTGCATGCGTGTTTGTGTGTACGTGTGCACGTACCAAGTTTATCGTGGAATCACTTCCAATAGAATTTGGAAGTTTTTTTTTCCATATTGATTAGTTATGTCGCTTTTGTTGTTTACTCGCTACATTTTTTTGCCCAGTTAAATTGTGTGTGCTGTGTGCCAAAAAACGCGGCAAAAAAAATCGCAAAAAAAAAAACGCCCACAACAAAAACACAAATTAACCCAAAACACAAGCAAAAGCGGAGAAAAATTGGTTAGCAGAAAACGCGAAAAGAAGGAAAACGCCAAACGGCAATCGATAGGCGCAAAAACCAAATCGCTGTCGCAGCGATCTCAAAACAAAAACGGAACATAAATAAATAAATAAAAATAAACGAAAAAAGACAACTACAAGAACAAGAAAAAGAACAACGGCAAAGAGCAGAGCACCCACCACCACCAATCCAATGTCCGCGGGTGTGGGTGGCGGCGGAGGTAGCATAACCACAGAACATCACAGCCGTTTATATTTCCTCAATTCGCCAACGGCGCCGCTGAGCGCCGCCCGCTCCGATCCGTTCTTCATCAAGCCCGAATATCTCAACTATGAGAATCCCATGCACCATCTGTATCCGAGCAACCGGGGCCTCATAGAGTACAACAACTATACGACAACAGTTGCCGCTGCAGCTGCTGCTAGTGCGAGTACAGGTGCTGCTGCTGCTGCTGCCGCTGCTGCTGCTGCTGCTGCGGCGACAGCCACTGCTGCCGCTGCCAACGCCGCCGCTGCGAACGCTGCTGCATCGTCCGTTTCGGGCGCTGTTACCAGCAGTACCGCCAATAACAGTACCAGCAATAACAGTAACAATAACAATAACAGTGAGAATAGTTTTCAACATTCACAGCAACAACAACATCCACAGCAACAGCAGCAGCAACAACAGCATCCACAGCAGCAGCAACAGCAACATCAACAGCAGCAGCAACAACATTCGCAACATCCGCAACAGCAACAACATCCGCAGCAACAGCATCCGCAACAACAACAACATCCGCTGCATCATCATTTGTCGATTGGGCCGCAGTCGTCGCGGGCGCAGAAAGCAGCGCGTCGACGCAGCAACGAATCGTTGGAAGCGCGCGAACGTCGACTGGAACGGAACGCGGCGAGAATGCGAGACAAGCGATCAAAGGAATCGGACGCCGAATATCGGATGCGACTCGCCAAGAATGCCGAAGCGAATCGTGTGCGGCGCCAAAACGAAAATGAAGTACAAAGAACCCTAAGACTGATGAAGAACGCCGCCCGACAGCGACTGCGACGCGCCAGCGAATCGAACGATGAGCGCAAAAAGCGTTTGGCCAAAGCCGCCGAAAGGATGCGCGTCTCGCGCGCCAGTGTGCCCAAGGTGATTAAGCCGCCGCTCGAGGATCGCCTCAAGGGTTACTAAGCACCAGCAGACGACCCAGCATCAGACTCCAATCAGCGAGTGTAGTGCGTAACTTGTGGAGCTGGCTCCAGCAAGTACCGGAAAGTGCATCCAATCAGACACACACACCCCGAACACACACACACTCATACACTGACACTCATACACATACCCCTATGTAGACAAGGGAGCGAGAAAGAGAGAGAGGGGGTAAAATATAACAGCATCTAATCAAAGGTATATCTAATCAGAAACCTAGCTTCCAAGTAAACAAACACACAAAACATACCGAATCTAATCAGGAGTAAAAAATATCTAATCAGAAACATGGAAGCCATTGTGTAAACGGAAACGCAGCAATGCAGAAGAAGAAGCATCAATTTGTGCGGGCGTACAAGAAATCTGCATTAAAAAGAAGAATAATGCATGTATGACACACACACACGAACACACACACGCACACAAACATTTGCATGTATGTATGTGTGGGCAGCAACGTCGTCGTTTTAGACAGCAAAAAAAACAAAAGGAAACGAATGAAGGAAGAAGAAAAAACATCTATAAATAATATATATATATATATATATATATATATATATAATGAAAACACATATGCATATATAACAATTACACACAGAGAAACGGGCAAAGAACAACAACAACAACAGCAAAGGGAAGGCGCCTAAAAAAGGATGTGCCCCAAAATAAAAAGAGAAAAGTAAATAAAAAAACAACAAGCAGCTATACATAATAATTATAATAACAATAATAATAATGATTATCATAACAATAACAATGATGAATGGATAAATGACACGTTTTTTTTCTGGAGCTAGCAAAGTGTCGGCAATTTTTTTTTAAGTTAAAATTTAAACAAAGATGAAGTAAAAAAAAAAACAAAAAAAAGTATTTTTATAATGCATGCATTATATTCGTACGATATATATAAATATAAATATATATATATACATATATATATAGCTATATATACACAAAACACACAGAATATTATAATATACATAGATACACACACACACACATAGGAAATAGTCAAGTGTAAATGTATGCACGTCACTTAGCACACACACACAGACACACTGACAGACACACGCACACATGTGAGAGATACACACACATGTGGTGGAGGAAAGAAGCAGAACGCGCGAAAAACCCCCCAAAGGCAATAGTTAACTTCATCCCCATATGTACACAAACACACACGCACATTTGCTCACATATATGCATATGCTTGCATGTGTGTGTGTGTGTTATTGCTGTGGTTGAATTTTTTAACTGTATTTGCATCCAAACGGAATTTGCATTCTTTCAATCAGCAATTGCCGTTATTTCGCTGCAACAGGTGGCGACACCTGGCGGTCAATTGTTCAACTTGCCTCCCAAAAAAAACAATTTTAAGCGCAATTTGAACATTTCCGCCAAAAGTGCTGCAACAAATTGTCCCACTGTGCATGTGTGTGTGTTCGTGTGTGAGTGTCTTTCCCATGCTGTAATAAAAAGGCGCGAGTAGACACGAATTCATTCTCACCAGCAATCCACACAGGATTATGTGTATACACACACTCTCATACACACACATGCACACATACACATATGCTGTAGTAACATTGAAAGCCTCACGCTACCCCACCCCCACCCCCTCACAGAACCCAATCAGAAAATAAATCACGCACCCTAACAAAGAACAAAACCCAACAATAAATGAGCAAATTAACAAAAAAAAAAACTAAAAAAAAAAAACTAAAAAAAGGAAAAAATAAACAATATATATATTAAACGTACCACTTAAGTTCTAGTCGAAATTTCAAATTGTTTTTTCTTACTCTTTTTACCCAGCCCTCCCATTATATTGTTTTGATGTAAAATTATAACATATACATTTTATGTAATTGTAATATTCTATGTACACTAAAAAAAAAAAGAAACAACAACACACACTCAAACAAGAAAGAAACAAAAAAACAACACAAAAGCAAACGAAAAACAAAATGAATACTTGAATAAAGTTGCATTCACAATTTTTAAGTGGCGCGCTCGTTTTAATTGTTATTGGAAACACTCAAAAAGGATTTTTAGCTTATGTTAAACAGAATTCAAATGTTGCCACCCATTGTATGATATATCGAAATCGATCATATCGCAAACAGCTTGGCGCGAATTTATCGAAATGGGTATGCGCCTATCGACAGTGCGCGCAATGCTATCGATAGCATTGCAATGGAAGTGGAGTCTATCGCTGATGCTACATGTATACATACACACACGTAAACATCCAGTTGCCTTCCAATTTCCAGTTGTATTTATTTTTTAATGTGTTGTTGTGTGCGTTGGTACAGAAAACGGCGGAGCATTTTGCTAGCCGGAGAATTTAGCGCGTTTTTTTTGTTGTTTCATTTCTCAAAAACAAACACAATTATTTCAACAATTTGCGCGCGTACAATTTGAGAGATAACTATGTGAAACGCCATGCCTGAATATGGACAAAATGCAGCTTTTAATTAATATGCACACAGTGAAATAATGTACATTTAACTAGGCGAGTGCAGAAATTGCCGACAATTTTCGAGCGGCAAAACGGAATATAAAAATAAATTAACAATTGATGAACAAATTGCAGCTGATGCAACAATTGTGAGAGAATCGCTTTCAAATTTTTTATAAAAGGACAACATACATATGTATGTATGTATGTATTTCATGCACACTTACATACACTTGCGTTTGCATATATATATATATAGACACCGCCGCTTGTGTGTGTGTGTGTACGAGTGAGTCGTGAACGTCTGCTTGTGTGTGTGTACATATAATCATGTGAAAAATCGATTGGAAGTGACTGGAAGCGCCGTATAGTCATTGGAAGACACACAGCGGCGGCGGCGGTAGCGGCGCCAATTGTCATTTACTATCAAGCAAGAAGAAGAAACGTGCGCACGCACCAAAAGTAGCCACAGCAAAAAATAAAAAGAAAAAAAGCAGAAAAAAGAAACGATTAAAATTGAAAATAAAGTAAAGCACGCAACGTCAACTTTTGCACAGTCCCTATATATATACATACATATATATATATAACACAAAAAGAAAAGCAGACAAGAACAACAACAGCAAACAATAAGCGCGCAACTGGCAACTGGGAGCAGACTGTAGTAAAAGGTGCGCAATTCGTTGTTTTAGCTGAGACACAAACCGTACGTTTTTTTTTACTTGAATTCTGTTTTGTTGCCATCTGTGTATGAATGATTTTTGACATTTGCATGTGCAGGCGGCGCGAGACGACACTAGCAAGAGGAAGCAGAGCACAAAAAAGAAGGCGACAACGGCAGCAGCAGGGGAAAATAGCTGAGGCAGCAACTATCAACATATTTAGAAGCATATTGCAAATTGATTGACATGATATAAAAAAAAAGAAGGGTGATGCGCAAAACAGAAACCGAAAACAGCAGCAGCAGCAGCAGCAATCAACGAACAACGAGAGAGCAGCGACGGTAAGCGAGAGACCGATAAAGAGCAAGAAAGAAAGAGAGAAAATAGCATCAGTAGCAGCAGCAGCCGCAGCCAAAAGTTGTTAAAAACGAAAACGCACCAAAAAAAGAAAAAGAATATATATATATATGCATTACACGGACCGAGAATTAGCGAGACATCAGCCGTATGCATGTGTGTGTGTGTGTGGGTGTGCGTGCATGTACAGCGATAACGATTACGATAAACGATATTTAGGCGCATTTCTTTTTATATAACTACTACCAACGACGGGCCACAAATTGCGAAGCAGCAAACAATAACAAAAAACGAAAACGCAACGAGAACGGCTGTTAAATGCGGCGACCAAAACGCCAACGTCTTTGTCGCCCGAGCAGCAGCAGCAGCAGTAGTAGTAGTAGTAGTAGCAGCAGCAGCAGCAGCAGCAGAAGTAGCAGCAACAGTTATCGATATTATCAAGAGCAGCAGGATATCGCTGATTGTTGACTGGAAGTGGCAGTGGAAGTGGAAGTGGCAGCGGCACTGGCAGCGCCAGTGGAAGTGCCTTGCTGACTGTTTATCGTTCGTTATTGTGTATTGTGTATATCGATCAAGAAGCAAGCAGGCGACGATCAAGCAACGATTTGACGACAATTTCGATTGTTGTTCAGGCTTTGCCAAATAATGGAACCAGATCCCAATGGGATAAAGATAGAGCCGACACTTGACCATCATCAGCAGCAGCAGCAGCAACAATACGCGACACATGTGCTGGCAATAAATGGTTCAAATGCGCGCCTTCTTATCGACCATCCGTCAGCGTTGTTGGTACCATTGTCGACCCATCAACAGCAACAGTTGCAGCTGCAACAGCAGCAACAGCAGCAGCAACAACAGTTTCAGCAACAGCAGCAGCAACATCATCACCTACAACAGCAACAACAACAACAGCAGCAGCAACAACAGCAGCAGCAGCAACAGCAGCAGCAGCAACAACAACAATTTCATCAGCAACAATTGCAAATAACATTACCCGCTTATTCACAGCCACTCTCGTTGAAGCAACAGCCGCCACCAACACCGCTGGGACCCGCCTCCAGCGTCAGCTCGACCAACACACAACAGCAGCAACAGCAATCGCAGCAGCAGCAAACACAACAACACCAGCATCATCATCATCATCAGCAGAGGTGGAACGAGAGCCCCGAGGCACGCCAACGCCGTTTGGCCCGCAATGCTGAGAGAATGCGCGAGCGGCGACAGCGTGAAAGCGAAGACGAATACCGCAAGCGTTTACTGCGTAATGCGGAGGCGAATCGCCAGCGACGGCAAAACGAATCCGACCTGGAGCGAGCAATGCGTTTGGTGCGCAATGCGGCGCGTCAGCGCCTACGACGCGCAATGGAATCACCCGATCAGCGGCTGAAGCGACTCTCCAAGCTGGCCGAACGCATGAGGATGTATCGTGCCAGCGAAACGGCCGATCAGCGCAAGATCCGATTGGCTGAGATGGCGGCGCGTGCGCGTCAGCGCATCGCCAGCGAATCGGTGGAGGAGCGCAAGGAAAGACTGAGAAAGCTGAACGACTATGCGAAAAAGGTCAGAGAAAAGAAAAAGATTTACAAACAGGTGCAGGTGCATGCAGGCGTGCCACTGAATTCGTCGTCGTCTTCATCGACCAATTCGACCAATTCCAATTCACTGACCGCGCAGCCGCAGCAGCAGCAGGTGCTTGCCGTGGCAACAGCAGCAGCAGCAGCAGCTGCTGCCGCCGCCGCCGCAGCAGCTGCAACCGCATCCACCGTAGCTGGTCCAGCCAATTGTAATAATGAGCATACTATTAATTTAAATCAGGCAAACGTCTCGTCAGCGCCTGCAACCAGTAGCAGCAATAGCAGCAGCAACAACAACAACAACACAACGACAGCAGCAGCGGCAGCAGCAACCGTTGCCAGCGACGGGCAACAGCAACAGCATCTGGTGACAGCCGCTCCAGCGGCTGCCTATCAACAGCATCAGGCCATCGAGTATATGGGCCAAAATATGTTTATAGCGCCCGGCATGCTGCGACCGACAATGCAACTTAAACAGGAGCCCCAACAGCAGCAGCAACAACAGCAGCAGCAACAGCAGCAGCAGCAACAGCAGCAACAACTACAACTCCAGCAACAGCAGCAACAGCAACAGCCACGTTACTCGCTGGGCGCCCAGCAGCTAATCGATGGCGTTGCCGGCGGCAGCGGTGCAGCCGAAGCGGGCAGCATATTTGTGCAACAGATCTATGGCGAGGAGCCGGGCAAAACTGGTAAATTGCTGCAGACGCATATGCCGCACTTTAGCATTGCCAATCAGCTCGAGTTCTATAAGCAGAAATACGCCAATATGGTGGAACTTCAGGTGCGTATGCAGACCACAACGCCAGACTAGCCAGAGATCAGAGCCAGTGCCAGTTGCCAGTTGCCAGAGAATCATTACCAGAACCAGAGCCAGAGATCAGAGCCAGTGCCAGTGCCAGAGAGATTAGCCAGTGGCGCGCCGCGCATCCACAAACAAAACAAAAAGAGACAAAAACAGACAAAAGATGAGCAGAGATCACAAAAAAGCAAAAAGCAAAAAGCAAAAAGCAAAAAGCAAAAAGCAAAAAGAAAAAAGAAAAAGAAGCAAACCAAAGTTTAAAAACAAAAAAAAACGAAACAAAAACCAATTAGAACAAAAAAAAAAATTTTATTTTTGTTTTCTTTTATATATTTTATTAGAAGATTTGAAGACGTGAACCGGATAAATCTCAATATATTTATATATATGCTGAAAAGTGAGCTAAATTCAGAGAGCGAGACAGAAATGAAGGTTTACCGCTTATCAATCATGTAAAAAATACAAAAAAAAAAAAACAAAAAAAAAAAATTAGAAACTCAACTTTGATATATATATAGAAATCTGAAATCTGAAAGCGAATTCAAATGCTATTTTGTGTAATGCCCCAAAAACGTCTCCAGATGTGTCTTCAAATCATGCAAAAGAACAAGATGAAAATTTGTCTCTTTCTATCAGTCAGTCTGTCTCACTTCCCAATATGGTATCTATATCTATATATATATATATATAGCAATTATATTAGCGAGTATTTTGATATGTTAAACGATATCGGAACAATTCTTAGGGTTTTTTTTTATTTTTTTTTAGAATAGCTTAAAAATAGTTTTGTTCTGGTTTTTTTTAGAGCAGAATTTTATTTGAATTGAACGAAAAGTTGGAATTAGGTTGCACACATAATATATATAAATAATATATATATATGATATATGATATATGGTATATAGATACCCATAAATTGTAGCCCAAGAAGCAGAAGAAATATATATTTTTTTGGAAAAACAGTTTCGAAAACGCAAAAAAGAAACAAATCAAATATTTGAAATTCTTATAGAAGTTTCACTGTCAACGATTAATAATTGTCTGTTTATGTTTTTTGTTGTTGTTGTTTTTTTTTTTTTTTTTTTTTTTTGTATTTCTCGAGAATTGCTGGGGCTGAAAATTTAGCTCGTGAAGCTCTTCCTGGAAACATAACCTGACACATAAAATTCTCTCTTTTTTTGGGTGTCCGATTTGGATGTGGTGCTTGCAGTCCGGCAACGAGACGACCGATAACAGCGGGTCTGTTACACTGGGCCAGAACGAGGCCAAGGTGATTTGTGGCCGCCACCGGGGAGCAGCAGAAGGCGCTTAAGCAGCTTGGACAGGCGGCGACGACGACAACGACCCAGCTATACAATCAGCTACCGTATCTGGCCACCTTCCCGGCAACGGCAAATAGCAGTGGCGGCACCACTGGCACCGGCACAGTTACTGTAACCGGCGGCGTCGGTGGTGGCGGTGGCACAAGTGGCGCCAATGGCACCGCAACAACCGCCTATTATCCCATGTATCACAATGGCTTCCAGTTGGGCATTGGGCCGAACACAGTGCCGCCGCCGTTTACGCCCGTGCATTTTACGAACGCCAGCGGCGGCAGCAGTCCGACAACAGCGACCGGCCAATATAATCTATTGACGGCGGCGCCGACGGGCACAAATCCCACGCTGACTGTCACCGGACTGGACCAACAGTCCCAGCAACAGCAGCAGCAACAGCAGCAGCAGCAGCAACAACAACAGTCCCAGCAACAGCAACAGCAGCAGCAGCTGGTCCAAGAGTTCCCCAAAGTTGGACGGGGAAGGCCGCGCAAGAACAACCTGCTCAGTGGCAAGGATGAGCATCTGAAGACCAATACGCTGCTGGAGCAGGAGATCAATCAAATGCTAGCCGCGCCGCATTTAACGCATCGGCGCGGTCGACCCTCGTCCGTGGAGCATCTCCATCATCAGATCCATGCACATTCCACGGCCGATGGTGATGGCATCGTGCATCAGCAGATGTCAACGTCGCGACGCAGTGGCGCCAACAAATACGAAACGGAGGAGGAGAAACGCATCCGTTTAGACAAAATGGCGGCACATCAGCGGGCGGTGCGTGCGAATGAGTCGCCCGAGCAGCGTACGATCCGATTGCAGAAGCTGTCGGAACGAGCGCGTCTCATGCGTGCCCAAATCCGGGCCACCGAGAATATTGAGGAGCGCAAGGAGCGCCTGTCCAAACAGGCCGAGTATGCGCGACTGCGACGGATGCGCAGTCATACGCCACGTCGGAGCAGCAGCGCCAGCACCGAGTTTCATGCCAAAACCGAGGAGGAGGAGGAGGAGACAGCTGAACAGTTGTATGACAATGATACCGATACTGGTGGCGATAGTTTTGCCGTCAAGACGGACACCTCCCAACTGGATGGCGATGCGTCCAATGATCAGCAGCAGCTTGCCGCACAGCTCCAGCTCCAGCAACATGACCTCCAACAGATGGCCGGCAGCCTACAAGCGCAGCCCCATCACGATGCGATTGTCATCAATCAGCAGCAGCAGCAGCAGCAACAGCAGCAACAACAGCAGCAACAACGTCTAGTTAGCCTCAGTCAGCATCAGCAGCAGCAGGGCTACAGCAAGCTGCAGACGACGACAGCAGCTGGCGGAAGCACTGGCGGTGGCGGTGCTGGTGGTGGTGGTGGTGCTGGCAACGGAGCACCTGAGAATAATGATATGCTTAAGATACTTGAACCGATCATTGTCATGAAGACCAAATGAGTAACGCAAAAGCGCCGCAGGGGGCCAACACATCATCATCATCATCAACATCAACATCATCAACGGTAGACAGTGCCAGATATAGCTAACTATATATATATATATATATATATATCTGTAAGAATATATATATGTGCTTATGTTTTGGGCTATTGTTGGCGCTAGAGATTCGCTGCGAGAAAGTGAGTGCAGAGAAAGATTGTTGACAGACAACGAAACACACACAAAACACCACTTGGTGGTCGGGTCAGCCAACCTACCCCACTTACCCCACCCCACCCGCCCGCCCCTTCCAGCTTTCCACTTGCCCCTAACCAACGCAACCCAACCCAACCCAACCCAACCCAACCCAACCCCCTACCCATCAAATTCTTGCAAGTGTGTTCTAGTGTAGCATATATATACAGATAGAATATATAGATGGGTATCGTAGGCGTTTTGTACAAAGAGAGAAAGTGTTTGCAAACAGAAAAAATGAAGAAAATAACAGAAGAAGAAGAAGAGGAAGAAAATATATTCTTAAGTCACGCGTTCTATTTTATTATTTCTTTTCTATAAGTCGCATATAACATATGCATATGTGCATAACTTCTATACTAAATATATGCATACATATATATTTATATATATATACTTGTTTATATACATTTGTATTCTTTTAAAATCTGATTTGAGGGCGTCTTAAAAATCAACTTAACTCTGTTTACTTTAAGGATACGTTAGTGCAATAGACATTAGAAAAAAAGAGAGAGAGAGAGGTAGATAGAGATAGTGAGCGAGGTAGAGGGAGAGCAGGATAGAGATAGTGTGCGAGAGAGAGAGGGAGAGATAGCGTGCAATATCGTATTTCACATACATCGGAACATGTCTAAAGCAGCAAAGTATATAAGCCCAATGGCTAACCCCAGAAACCAACCAGGACACTGTGAGAAAACGAACCGTAACGAAACGCACCGATGCAAACACAATACACACACACAATACACACACACAACACACACACACACACACACACACACATACACTGCACTATACGTATACATTAATTTTGCAGCTAACAAAGGAAAACAAACAAAAACAACAAACTAAATAAATTAAAAAAAGAAGAAAAAATATGTATTTGCATAAAAAAAATAGGTATAGAAATTGTAACTTTTTGAATTTTTGAAAGTGTAACGGTCGTCAACAGATTACCGATTAACTTTTTATGTAATGTAATAAGCAAAAAAAAAAAAAAGAAAAGAGAAGTGAACAACTACGCCTAAATTTCATAATAATTTGTAGCCCCTAAACCGAGCACTAAGTAGAAAGTACGTATTAATTTTTAAAAGTAGCAAAACATACAAATAAATTCTAATGAGCAATAAGATCGCTTAACTATCGATAATTATCGGTCGCACAAGCAAAGCCAATCATTGGCCGGGGGTTCTTTTTGTTTGTTTTCAATCAATTAAATAAGCATTTGGTAATTACAATGCTATCTCGCCTCAGCGATAACTGACAATGGATTCAAATATTGATGTATTGATATAGTTATGGGAACATTTATATACAGATTAAAAGTATTCACAACATCTGACAGCTGCGACAACTAGTGAGTGGCCTCATGATAATTTATATATAAATGCATATCGACATTTCAAAAAGATCTTCATCGGATCTGCGAGGCAAAAAATAATGGTATAATCGATCGTTTCTGTTATAATTTTGATTATGACAATAAGCAAAGGCCAGAAAAACACAGTCGCCTTGGCAAAATGTGATTTACCAACTTTGAATTACCAAACTGCCGCTGCAATGTTTACAAAGCAGCAGCAGCAGCCAAAGTGACCATACTCTCGTTACAGAAACAATACCGAAAATGCGCGATTGTGTTGGTAAACAGCGGCTGACATGCGGCCGCTGCATTTTCGTAAAATAACAGAATAAGTTCAAAATAAATATTGTTTAGCTTGTCGCAACAATATTTTGTTTGTCGAAGCTGCGTCGAGTGACAGCTGCGCTTTCTAGTAAATAGAGACCCCACTCTCAAGTCATATGTATCTCGATATTTGGCCAACAATTGTAATTGTGGCATGAAGTTTTCGACGTTGCACAGTGTGGACACCGTTTATTCCGCCGATTCGGTGGAATGGTGCACAGTGGATGAGGCACATAATGGCTATTTTGCGTGTGGCACCTATCAGCTGGTGAATGCGGAGCAAACAGCTGCTGAAGGTGGCACGCAACAACAGTCGCAACATTCACAGCAGCCACGCAAGGGTCGCGTCTATCTGTATGCCTTCGATGTGCAGGGCGGTGCTCTGCACCGGCTGCAGTGCATCGAAACAGCAGCCATCTTGGACATGAAGTGGCTGCCCGCCGGCAACTCAGAGAGCGGCCCGCTGCTGGCCACAGTCAATGGGCTCGGTGAGGTCGACATCTACGAGCTGCTAGCCGCCGAACAGCGACTGATGAAACGTGCCAGTTTGCAGCTGGAGCAGAGCGAAGAGGAACCGATTCTAGCATTGGCCATCGACTGGCGACAATGTGCTGACGATGCAGATGTTGTGCAGCTACTAGTGTCCGATTCCAGGGGCAATATCCATCAGTTGCAGTTGCATGCGGCGCAGCAGAAGCTCAGCCAACTGCGCTGCTGGCATGCGCACAATTTTGAGGCATGGACATGCGCCTTTGATCGCTGGTCGCCCCAGCGTCTCTACACCGGTGGCGACGATTGCCTGCTGCATGCCTACGATTTGCGCATCGGCGACACGGATCGTATCTGGACGAATCGGGCACATGGCGCCGGCGTCACCTCTCTGCTAAGTCGTTCAGTTGCCGAGCACCAACTGCTCACGGGCAGCTACGATGAGGTGTTGCGCCTCTTCGATACGCGCCGCATGAAGTGCAGCCTCGCCGAGCTCAATCTGGGCGGTGGCATTTGGCGCCTCAAGCCGCATCCGTTGCGTAACAATCTCATCCTTACCGCCTGCATGTACAATAACTTTCATGTCGTCGACATAAGCTCGTCGGGCCCGGGCCCGGGCCTGAACCTGGTGGGCACCTACGGACAGGAGCATGAGAGCATCTGTTATGGCGCCGATTGGGCGCCAAATATCAATAGTCTGGGCTTAGCGGGCGGTGCAAGTGCTGAGATTTTCCACATGGCAACCTGCTCCTTTTACGATAACAAACTCTGCGTGAGCAGCGTTCAAGCATAACCTGAAACGTTGCACATTTTGTTATCCTCTTAATTAAGCAGACAGATTAGCTATAAAATATAATCGTTTTATATAAATACGTTTTTTTTTAATTTTTGCCTGTTTAACGTTTGAATTTATTGTGATTAAAGTTTAAATAATGTGCTGACAAGCACAGCAAACATGTTGCTGGTAGTTTGAAATATTATATTTGTATTTTATTTATAGGTGTCTTGTGAAATATTATATTTGTATTTTATTTGTAGATGTCCTGTTTCACGTCTTGCTCAAAACTCAATTTTCTACATATATTTTTTCTAATAAACATATATAATAAATTACTAAATGCATTTATTATATTGTACAAATAATAGCAGAAGTTATAGTTGAAAAACAAAAAACATTTTCAAATTATGGTTAAGACTAAAGACATAATTAAAATTAGTTACTTAATTTAGCTAAATGCGAAGACGTTCGAGTTTAAACAAGCCTATCGATATGCGAAGGTGGTAAAATTTAAACAAGCCTATCGATATCGAATGTTCAACACATATATTTGACATATCGATAGAGCAATCGAAATTGTGATCAGACGCGCGTTTATAAAACTTTGTATCGAATTTATTTAATGTCGAAATGGCTGCAAGTAATCAAATGTTGCATAAAATTGAAACTGAACTTGTCGACATCCAAGAAGCGCTGAACAAAACAACAAACGCTGTGCAGCAAATTGTGGCAGCCATCGAAGATTCCAAAGGCAAGCAAAACACAATCGCCTCTGCAGCTGAATTCGATGGAGAAGTTCAGCAGGTGCTTCCAGAACTGCAGCAAATTGAAGTTGAGCGCAAACAAATTCTGGAACAATTCCATGATATACTTGGTACGCAAATAAGCATGCATCCAATACATACAAACATTTATTGTTTTTTTTTTTTTTTATATTTACTATTTAGAGAACAGCAATGATGTCCGAATTGTACAAATACTCAAGCATAACTTGCATCAATTTGGCTGTCAACTGCGAGCATCTTCCGATGCGAACAATAGGATACTATACAAATTTGATTTTGGCAGCAAACGTTGCATAATCGTCACAATGAATGCTTTACGGCTGGAACTCGTCCGTATTTATCCGGAGCAGCGCAATTTCGCCAAACTCAAAGAACTCTTAGACGAATCTCAGGATCTAATGGGTTTGCTGAACACCTTTGGAGATATGTATAAAAATGTTTAGTTGCCATGCTTATCAATCCACTAATATACATATTACATATAATCTATAGATTTTATAAATTAAATACAATAATTATGAAAAACTAAATAACTCTTGCAAAAACTCCATTTTTATATTGCTAAACTTGAAATTTATTTGTTTGCAAGTGCGTGCAAAATTGTGGGATTAAAGATGTGGGGGGGGGGGGGGGGGGTTGCACAGAAGCAGACAGTGGGACATGGCTATAACGACTCGGCTGCTGTTGCCAACAATTGTGATTGGCATATGCAAAAAGTAAAAGCGTTTCTTGTGTATGCGGCTAAAGTTTGTAATTTTTATAAAATATGTACATATAAATATATATATATGTAAGCATATATACTATATATATTTTAGGTATCACACGGTTTTTTTTGTTTCGTTTTTTCCTTTTTCTTTTTCTGTTTTTTTTTTTACTTCTGAGTGTAACAAGATGTAAACAGCAACGCACGTCCACAGCCCAAAAGCTCCAGCTCTTCCCGACATCCGTCATCCTTTAGGCGGTGGTGACCACGTTCTGAATCCAGTTCAAAGCGCCTCGGATGCGACGCAGGCGTGCACGTACCAGGAAGCTGCAGATGAGCATATACTCAACGTACGCATGCCGACCACCGCCGCCGCTCTGCTGAGCGATGCCATGTCCATTTGGACGACCCTCGCACATGATCTTGGTGGTCAGCGAGAGCAGCCACTGCAGGATCTGCAAAGGCAAGAGAATCATAAATATTGCAAAGAGCACAAGATTGTTGGTGAGGTGTTTGTGATTACCTCGGGACTGTTTGGCATGCCACCAGACTTGAGCCACTTCGATGGTGCCCAGAGGAAGAGCTGCAGCACATTGGCGGCAATGTCGGGGCTAATACGCTTCGACGGATTGGGATTAAGTATATTGTGGATGAGCTGTTGCAGCAGCGGCGGACACGCATCGCACAGTGGCGGCAACTGCTCGTGCCTGTAATCGCTATTTCTCAGCGAATAAGTGAGCTCGCCCTGTGCACGAGCCAATCCGCCCGTGGCTGAATAGAAGGGATTGGGCAGACCAAAGATTTCGTAGGCCAATGCACCGCAGGCCCACAGATCGGCCTTGCTATAGTTAAGCACTGCAAATGGCCCCGGCTGTGTATTAAAGATCTCTGGCGCCATCAGTGCCGCATTGCCGCCCTTATCGATATCATTGGCGGCATAGGGCAGACGCAGTCCGTGCACCTTGTCCGCCAGACAGCAACCGAAATCGGATAGCACCAGCAGCGGCGACTGATCATTCGACTGTAGCTCGATCAGCACATTATCCGATTTGAGGTCACGATGAGCGACACCGTGCCGACTCAGATGGGTGACAGCCTCCAGCATCTGGGCGAGCAGGAGGATTCGGGTGCGTGTGTTTAGCTCAGTGGTGTCCAGCAGGCCGCGCAGACTGTGATCGTAACGCTTCATTAGCAAATACAATGACATGTTCCGTCCATAGCCCTGCGGATTGATCCTCTGCGGTTGGGCAATCGGATAGAGCAGATGGCCGTCGGTAAAGTTGCCCACCTCATCGCAAAAGAAGCCAAACATGCAGACAACATTTGGATGCGGTGGCAACGTCATTGTCTGATGCTGCAACAGACGCTCCCATTCCTCGGCACTGGCATTCATGCGACGCTGACGTGCCGGCACCGTCTCCTTGTACATCGCCCGCAATATGGACAGCGCATTGCTTTGTATATCGTAATTGAACATCATTTTGAGCGCCAGCGGATAGCGATCAATCGAGGACGAGTTATGGGTAGCAGGCAGTCCCAGATCCTCCACAGTATAGCCAGATGGCAGAGCCCGTTCCTCCTCGGCCAGCTGCTGTGGCTGTTCTCCAGCTGCCGTTGCTGTTGTTGCTGTTGTGGTAAGGCCATCCACAAAGGCGGCGGCCGCCGTTGGCTGGCTGTAATTGTAAATATTATCGACGGATCCGCCAAAATTGTGTACGAATCGCGACATATTCTGCAAGGGCGACATCATCTCGTGATTCCAGTTGGTGGAGCTGCTCATTGTGTTGGCGGCAGTCGCTGTGTTCGTTTCGTTGCCGCCGTGTATCGTATCCGATGCGGGAGTCTCCTTGAAATTGGCCGCATAAACAACGGCCGCACAGCCCTTGGCAATTGGTGGACCCACCTCAAGTTTGTCAATATTGAAATTGCTATTCAACGTTTCGGATATCTCGTCGTGATTCCAGGCGTTCTGCAAGCGACTGGCCGCCTCGCGTATCTCCCAGCAAACGCCCTCCAGTTCATCCTCCTTGCTCAGCACACCCGAACCGGTCGCGAGACTAACGCCGATTAATGCAAAAAACGGCGCCGAATCGCCATAAAAGAGTTTGCGTGTCGCCCGATGACGCAGTTCCTCCGAGTAACTGTTCGTCACACGACTCAAGATGTTGTCGATGAAGAGCTTGCGGGCATGTTGCCCAAAGCGAAAGATGCCACCATTCGCTGGACGGGTCGGACAGAAGCGTGGCAACACATTCGCCGTCTGCGGAGGGGTTGCCGCTGAGTTCTGCGAAGGATGCGAAAGATCAGCATTAAAAAGGCGTTAAACGATAAACGAAAGTTAAGATCTAATTTTTATCAGCAACTGTTTGCTACTCCTTTCTATTCTTTTTTAAATATTTAATGACTTTTTTCTTAGATAAATAAGAAATGTATATATTATATATATATAAGTGTATCTATCTCTGTCTTGCTCTATGCTGTGCACTCTTGATCGAAATGCAATGATCATGAAAACTTTTGACTGGCGATGGCCATTCCGGCATTGAATTATATATTTCATATATTTCGCACTCACCCGCAGAACATTGACAGATGTTAGGGGAAAGCCTCGCTTGCTTCGTGTCTTTAACTGGCCTTGTTCCAAAATGTTGGTGTGTATATCACGATTCCAATAGCTTCGTAGAACGTAACGACCATGTTTAACCAGTCGCACGGTTAACAGTCTCACAGACATTTTACCAATTGCAGATCGGCCTTATTGTTTCGCGTTTCTCGTTGCTCTTATGCCCAGATCAAGAAGATTCGCATCGGACTATTGAACTATCGAAGAAGGAAAGCGAAAGTGCACTCATTTTTATCTATTGTTATTTATTTATTTAACGCTGAGCTCACCTATTTGTTCGTTTTTTTTTGCTTGTATTTGTATTTGACCTACGAATCGTTTCGCCTTCGTTATCCTCGCACTGTTGAAGCGCCAGTAGTTATCGCAGATCGCAGCTTATCGATATATCGATTAATTGCTGCCTTGGGGGGCAAGTGTTTGTTTTTGCGTGGTAGAATTGGTCGCCGTCACAGTTCTATTATAAACATATATATATATAGGCATAACTATGTATGTATATATATATATATATATATATATATAGTCAACTATAGTCAAAATGGGAAAATCTTCCAGCTTATTCTTAATATTCTACTATGTAAACGTGTAAAACGAATTGAATTTACTCAACGGACTCATAATTTGTTTAGTTTAACTCGCCTTGTTGATTGATTTTCCAGTTGCCACTAGTGGTTCATCCGTGCCTGCTTTTTTCTCTGCATAAGTCGGTGTGTGTGTTTGTTTTGATATTTATGGACGATTCGCTGTTACCAGTTTGTGTTAAACATCGATATTATTATTGGTAGAATCGTTCCGGTTGGCTTTGCGGTAGGAAATTAGATAATCACATTGCCATAAATAAAAAACCGCTTGCGAATTGGTAATTTTTAATTCGAATGTACGAAAGAGCCAAATATTAAATGTACTTAGCACCAGAATTCGATTTTGAGTCTATTTTACAGTAGAAACAAACGAGCAAATTCACAAAGCACAATCAGCTGTCAGTTTGTCACACAGAGCTGCACTGCGATTCATCCACTATCGATGCAGCTCATGCCGTATGCCGTATCGATAGTAATCATTGCAAAAAGGTATCGATAGGCGATTTAGTGCAACTACACATTTTATTCAAATCAAACGCTCAAGGCTAAAGCAGTGATTACACATTTAATGGGGACCTAGCATTTTCTTGGGGTCAACCCATTCCTTAAACTGCTCCTCAGTCACTCCAGCCTTGATAGCCTCCTCCTTGAGCGTGGTGCCGTTCTCATGTGCAGTCTTTGCTATCTTTGCCGCCTTATCGTAGCCAATGTGCGGATTCAATGCCGTCACCAGCATCAGCGACTCGTTCATGATCTTCTCAATGCGATCCGTATTGGGCTCAATGCCCTCGACACAGTGCTTGCTAAAGTTAACGCTACCATCCGCTGATAATTGCATATTCATTAAGATGCTGATGTCCGAGACGAAATTAACTTGATTACTTACCCAAAAGGCGAATGGAACGCAGAACATTGGACACAATTAAAGGTTTAAAAACATTAAGCTCAAAATGTCCACTGGCGCCGCCCACTGTGACCGCCACCTGATTGCCCATAACCTGGGCGCATATCATGGTCAACGATTCGCACTGTGTGGGATTCACCTTGCCGGGCATAATGGAGCTGCCCGGCTCATTCTCGGGCAACTGAAGCTCACCGAGACCGCAACGTGGCCCTGAGCCCAAGAAGCGAATATCGTTGGCAATCTTCATCAGGCTGACGGCAATAGTGTTGAGCACGCCGTGCACCTCCACCATGGCATCGCGGGCGGCCAGCGCCTCGAACTTATTGGGCGCCGACACAAATGGCAGCGAGGTCAGCTCGGCGATTCGAGCTGACACCTTTTCGGCGAAACCCTTGGGCGCGTTCAGGCCAGTGCCGACGGCTGTGCCACCAAGGGCCAGCTCATAGACGCGCGGCAGGCAGGCACTGATGCGGTCGACGCCGTATGTCAGCTGCTGGGCATAACCGCTGAACTCTTGGCCCAAGGTCAGAGGCACTGCGTCCATGAGATGGGTGCGACCGATCTTGATGATGTCCTTATAGTCAATCGATTTGCAATGGATCGCATCGCGCAGATAGCACAAGGATGGAATGAGACGGTTGTTCAGCTCTAATCCGACAGAGATGTGCACGGCTGTGGGGAAGGTGTCGTTGGAGCTCTGCGACTTGTTCACGTGATCGTTGGGATGCACTGGTTTCTTGGAGCCGAGCTCACCGCCCATTGCCTTGATGGCCGCGTTGCTGATCACCTCGTTGGCATTCATGTTCGATTGAGTGCCGGAGCCCGTCTGCCAGATGACCAACGGGAAGTGTCCTTTGCTGTAGTACTTGCCGGAGATGACATCGTCACAGGCAGCGGACACGGCATCCGCTATCCCGGCGTCCATGCCAAAGTCCTTGTTGACATCCGCACAGGCCTTCTTCAATATGCCCATGGCCTGGATGATAGGCTTCTGACAAAAAATCAAATAAAATGCCGATTATCGGATTAGACCGAGGCATATATATATATATATATATAGAGAGAGAGTTACCGGCATGCGTTCGCCAATGGTGCCAATGGGGAAATTGATCACGGAGCGCATCGTCTGTGCGCCAAACAGTTTATCCGCTGGCACCTTCAGCTCGCCAAATGTGTCCCGCTCCATGCGAAACTTGCCATCCTGGCGAGCGCCATGTGGTGAGTGTATTATTCACTGGGATACAAATCCTGTAAGGATTGTCTTACTTACGCCTTTGTTCTTTTTAGATTGCAGCAACAACGTGGTGCTAAAATGACGACAGCCGGTGATCATCCTCATCCTCAACAATTCTCAAGTTCAAAGTTTTTCAAAACAGATGCTTCTTATTTTCGATCTGAACTGAAATATATATTTTTTATTTACACTGTGTATCTGTAGATATTCAGACAATTAAATGAGGGACAATTTTTTCGTTGGATACTACGGCCACAATATATATTTAAAAGCATTTTCAAGATTGTTTGCAATTAAACTTAAAACTCCATCAATGCTAAGACAAGTGATGTTAATGTGCTTATTATTTTGACCATCAGTGTATGTAAATTAATATAATATCAAATTTAAACATTTTCACGAATAATTGTGTTTTTAGCCTACAAGATTAATGCTGCTGTGATTTTGAACAAATTGAAATATTGCACTGTAGAAAGAATAATTCATTAAATTGTTTTCAAACATGATTTTTATTCTCGAATCTATTTTGGACTGGAACACACAGGAAACTTCCGTTTCCCTGGCAAGCATTCAATCCAGACAATTAGATGAAGGGTTCACTTTTTGCTTAGATAGTAGACTTTTTTGTTGCTGTTGTTTACTTGGGGCCCAGCATCTCCTCGGGTCGCACCCAATCGTTGAACTGCTGCTCGGTCAGATAGCCCAGATTAATGGCCTCCTCCTTGAGCGTGGTGCCGTTCTTGTGTGCCGTCTTTGCTATCTTGGCCGCCTTGTCGTAGCCAATGTGCGGATTCAATGCCGTCACCAGCATCAGCGACTCGTTCATGATCTTCGCAATGCGATCCTTGTTGGCCTGAATGCCATTGACGCAGTTGGCCGTAAATGTGCGACTGCCATCGGCTGCAATTAGTAATTAATAAGATTTGGGTTTGAGAGAGAGAATTGGAGACTGATGGCAAGTGAAGCTACTTACAGAGTAGGCGGATGGAACGCAGCACATTGGACACAATCAAAGGCTTGAACACATTAAGCTCAAAGTGTCCATTGGCACCACCCACTGTGACGGCCACCTGGTTACCCATCACCTGTGCCGAGAGCATGGTCAGCGATTCGCACTGTGTGGGATTCACCTTGCCGGGCATAATGGAGCTGCCCGGCTCATTCTCGGGCAATGAGAGCTCGCCGAGACCGCAGCGTGGCCCTGAGCCCAAGAAGCGAATATCGTTGCCAATCTTCATCAGGCTGACGGCAATAGTGTTGAGCACGCCGTGCACCTCCACCATGGCATCGCGGGCGGCCAGCGCCTCGAACTTATTGGGCGCCGTCACGAAGGGCAGTGAGGTGAGCTGGGCAATCTTGGCGGCGCACTTCTCGGCGAAGCCCTTGCGTGTATTAAGTCCAGTGCCGACGGCTGTGCCGCCCAGGGCCAGCTCATAGACACGCGGCAGACAGGCATCGATGCGCTCGAGGGCATAGGCCATTTGCTGGGCATACCCACCGAATTCCTGGCCGAGGGTCAGAGGCACCGCGTCCATGGTGTGGGTGCGGCCAATCTTGATGATGTCCTTGAACTCATTTGACTTAGCAGCGAGAGCATCGTGCAGCGTCTTAATTGCCGGCTTCAGATTGTTGTTCAGCTCCAGGGCGACCGAGATATGTATGGCCGTTGGGAAGGTATCGTTGGAGCTCTGCGATTTGTTTACATGATCGTTGGGATGCACTGGCGTCTTGGAGCCCAGCTTGCCGCCCATCAGCTCAATGGCGCGATTGCTGATAACCTAAATGGAGACACACACACACACACACACACACACACACTGTGAGTACGGCGTACAAACAAATAGTTCATAGTTTATGCTCGTACCTCGTTAACGTTCATGTTGCTCTGGGTGCCGGAGCCCGTCTGCCAGATGACGAGTGGAAAATGGTCGTCGTACAACTTGCCGGAGATGACATCATCCGCTGCCTTCGAGATGGCCTCGCTCACCTTCTGATCGAGTCCAAACTCCTTGTTGACCTCGGCGGCGGCCTTCTTCAAAATGCCCATTGCCTGAACGACTGGTTTCTATGGCAATTTCATACAGATACAGATACAGATACAGTTACATTTACATATGAAGTTGATTTAGCTTTCGAGCTACTCACCGGCATGCGTTCCGTGGAGCCGCCAATGGGAAAGTTGATCTGGGAGCGCATCGTCTGTGCGCCATAATATTTGTCAGCGGGCACCTTCAGTTCGCCAAATGTGTCGCTCTCAACGCGATATTCCTGTGACGCCTGTCAACGAGAATTCTTTTTTGTTAAGGACATTTCAAATCAGCTGTGTGTGTGTCTGTGTGTGAGTGAGTGTGTGTGTGTGTGTCTGTGTGTGTGTGTGTGTGTGTGGCACACTGTGCAAATGTCTCATCTGACCATTGTGTCTGTTTCGGCAGCACGAAATTAAATAGTTGCGATTGCGATTGCGAGCGGGCAAATATTGAATCAGATAAGTTGCCACCGGCGAGCAGCGAAAACTCAAAAATAAGAGCTGGTTCAACAAGTATGCTGAACTGTTAATCGCGCCAGCCTGACTCTCACATACCCTACACATCCTCAAACTACATTCATATGCAAGGAATCATAATTTGCACTTATAACAAGAGAGAGAGAGAGAGAGACAGCGAGGGAGAGAGAGAGAGAGAGAGAGAGAGAGAGAGAGAGAGAGAGAGAGCGAGAGAGGGAGAGAGAAATTAATCCTTTTACATTATTCTACATATATCCATTCATCTAGTTGCAGGGCATTGAAAGTGCGTTAATGCTGAACTGAAGTCTTAAACGACCCAAGTGGGGCTCTTTTGCTTCTCAGTCAGGCAATGTATGAACGTGTGTGTGCCAGTGTGTGTGTGTGTGGATGCTTAGTGATTGCCCGCTAATCTGTGTGTGTTAGATTCACACATAAGATATTTAAAGCAAGTAAACAAGACAAACGCAAGTGTTAAATGCGAAGGGCAAACGGACGAAGAGTGACAATAATTAATGAGAGAGAGCGAGAGAGGGAGATAGACAGCGAGATAGTTGAGCTAACGAGCAACGGTATTTAGTGGGATGCCAATCTGTGTGAATTTCGGGTAGTGCGACAATCGTTTTAGACTCCAATTAGAATCTCATCAGCCGATTCAATTAACCGGTTTGTTTTGCCAAAACCTGTATAATTGCTAATTTGATTGTGTGTGTGAACTGAAACACTGGCCAACATGCAACTGGTTTTCGCGTAAATACATCAAAATAAAGAATATACACAGAAAATAATGTAGCTGAACTAATAATCTCGTATGGAGTATACAGGATATCATTACTAAATGTAATTAGACATAATTCAGTATACATTTCATAAAATACTGAATGAAATACAATATCAGTCAACAATTTGTCAATTGCTACAGCTTTAAAAATGAGTTTGATTGTATTAAACCTCTAATTTCGTTCAGTAAACAATGAAGCTTTCAGCAGTGATTCAAATATGTGAAACATTAAAATTTCAGTAAGTTTTTTTTTTTGTGCTATACACAAAAAATATATATAGATCTGAAGATAGGATTTTCAGAACATAAAAATCGAACAAATTTGTATTAAAAGACCTTACGTTTGTCTTTATTTTTTAAAAATGGTTATTTAATTTAAATCAAGTCCAACATCTCCAAGAAAACGCTCAATATCTAAATGGAAGGTTGTTTTCACAACTATCTTTTGCATTCTTATCTTCGAATTCTCGTTTGAATTCTCTCGGGCGGCGCCAAATTATCTAATTGGCTCTCATCGCAAATACGTTCCACAAATGTAATTTCTTCTTCTTGAATGCTGCTCAGCTTGTGGAACTAACTCCTAATGATTGTAATAATTGAAAATATCGTCATAGCATTAGCACTTTCTTGAGTTTGAATTGGCTTTTGCACATAATTTGTGCATAAGTACACTTTGGCAATAAGTGACTGTCACTGATTATGAAATGCCGGCAAATTTCTTAACAGTGATTCCAATTGGAAGTGTCTTGGACATGTCTGTGCGCGTTCGAATGGATTTGAAAAAGTTTTAGTCCGCTTCAAGGTTCCCAACTGCTTGATGCTTTCAAATATGGTCAAGAAGACAATGCAGGCCAAAACAGAAATGGAAATTACATAAGTGCATATCCAACAATAAGTCTTCTTACCATGCGAACAGCGTACGCTGCACTCGTCCATGGCTTGGTCGTCTGTTGGACGCCACGTAGCGTGTAACGCTGCAAAAGCGGTAGCACCATTTTTATAATATATTAATAGTTAAATACAGCAATTGCAACTAGATATAAAATCCGCGAATATCTCACGCCACCATGCAGGCAAACACAACAAAAACACCAATTACGATAGACGATAGTGCAGTTCCTGGCGATATATCGATACATTTTGTTTTTGTTATCGTGTCGAGCAGCACAGTGAAAAGAAATAATGTTGTTAACTTCTTGACTAATGTAGTCATTTTACGGATAAGTGTTTGGGTTTATATGTGGAAATATTAGTAAAATAGCTACTGCACCGGCCCCTACATATATCGAATACAAATATCGCCCATCTCTAATGAACAGCTGCTACAGCTGTCTGCCGAATTGCTGCTAGGCGAGGGAGTCAAGTGCTGCATATAAATTGTTAATTGTAACGCAACCAACGCCAACGCCTACACAATGTCAGCGTTAATGAAATCTCTGTGCCTGGCCAAAAAGCTGAGCGCTTCGAATCCGGCTCTGTCGCTTCAGATTGCCCGCAATCGTGAGTAGAGCGCATTTCTGTTTGCGGTTTTTCTGTTTTGTTTACGTAACTTTTGAGGTGTTTTGCGAATGGTCTTAACCGTTATTTGCAACAATTCACAGTTGCTGGCTGGAACAAGGACTACAAGCCGGCACCGTATCCAAGGACAGAGAAGGAACGCGAGGCGGCTGCCAAGAAATACTATCTGCTGCCAGAGGAATACAAACCGTATGCCGATAATGGCCTGGGCTTTGGCGACTATCCCCATGTTGGCGGCGGACTGGGATTAGAGAACAAGGATAGCTACTATCCCTATGATTATCCCGAGCACAAGCGCAACTTGCACGAGCCAGTGAGTTAATGCATCTACGCCGCAACTATACAATATTAATATGATGTTTTGGTGTGGTTTACTTAATAGATTTCAGCGGATATTGATTTGTATAGCGAGGATCGATTCTCGCAGCCGGATCAACCACGCTACAGCACATCCTATTACTTTTTGTGCTTTTTGGGCGTCATGTCCGGATGCCTGGCGGTCTACTACTGGCTGGAGGATAAGAAAATGTATCGTCCAGTGGCCGTCAAGCAGTTACCCGCTGATGGCAAGAAGCACTACACCTTCGATCAATAGAAAGCCCTTGGAACAGCAGATTGCTCTGTATGCGTCGTGTGTTCATGATTTGATGTTTGTTTCGCTTCGCCTTCGTTAAGATTAAATAGGCAATTTACCAACGCATATGTACAATTAAAAGAAATACTAAATTGAAGTGTCTGTCGATTAAATATTAAAATATTGATTTATGCACTTTCTTGGAAATTTCAACGATTCGAGTTTAAATTCTTCCGGATCATCAGGTATCTTCAGGTAGCCCGTACTAAAAATTAGTATGCTTTTTGTTTGTCTAGTTTATTTCAATAATAGTATTTATTGGCAACATAACCTAAAAAATTCAAAATATTTTATAAAATACTTCATTTGAAATCAATTTACTGGATGATATTCATCCAAATCAAAAAAAAAAAAATGAAAATATTAAAACTTTTAAATTTGAAAAATGAAGTGAATTACTTAAAAGTACGGTTAATTCTTATAGTTAAATAATGCTAAGCTATATACTAATTACATGTGTTGGGTGACAAAACTAAACGTTGAAAAATGCATATCAAGGATTCTTGTGAAATGAGATGAAAAAAAGAAAGCGAAACCGATGGCTGATGATGACAAATGTGAAGATTACTCCACAACATAGTTGGGATGAACGACCAGAAGCGGATCGTTTTCCAATTCATCATTGTAACCCATCGCATTTTTGGAAAAGGGCTTGAGAAATGCGGTTTTGAGTGGTATTATAACCTGATCATGATAGATCAAGCGATCTATCAGCTTCTCGATGAGGTTCTTGCGCGAGATGAGCTCATCCTCGGACTCAATTTGTTCAGCGACCTGTTCCAGATACCAGGTGACGACATCGCTGCGTTTCATGCCCGTATCGCTGCCGTCGACCTCGCAGCGCGCCTCCTCGCCACGCATGTGCAGCACCAGCATCGTTGACAGATTCTTGTAATCCTCGAAGGAGAGCGTGAACTTTTTCTTTTGGCCAGCGCCGGCCGAGGTGTCCATTATGGCATCATCGCCACCTTCCTGATTGGCCGCCGCCCCATTGTTCTCCATATCCAGATCATGCTCAATGCCATCATCCACATCCAGTCGCTCATCATCATCCAGATGAATGTCGGGCTGTTCGACGCGTATAATGGACTTATTGAGCAGACGAAATGCCTCCTTAACATGACGCTCGAGCACACGATTAGAACACTCCAGCTTGGCCATTGCCTCGCTCAGCCGTATCATCGACTCCAGCTGACGAACGGTAATGCGCCACGTGCTCCGTCCCGATGAGCCCGTGTCTCGCTGACGCAAATGCCCATAGTTTTCCACCAGCATTTTGCCCGCCTCCGTGCTGATGATCGGCTTGAACTGTCGGGCAAAGGTCACATAGCGGAGCACCTCCTCACGTGTATACGCACGCTCCACAGACTCCTCGATGTTCGAATGCAGATCGACAATCTTGCGGGCGATGGCATAGTCGACCACCTCGTTGCACTCGTCCACCAGAATGAAGAACAGATCGAAACGGGACATTATCGGTGCGGACAATTGTATGTTCTGCTGCAAACTCTTGGAGCGATCGTAGCGTCCATTAATCGGATTCGCTGCAGCCAGAATGGAGGTGCGTGCATTCAATGTGGCACGAACGCCGGCGCGTGCTATCGATATGGTCTGCTGTTCCATGGCTTCGTGTATGGCCACCTGATCCCGCAAATCCATCTTGTCGAACTCATCGATGCAGCAGATGCCGTTGTCCGCCAGCATGAGAGCACCCGCCTCGATCACAAAATCGAAGCTCTCCTCGTCACGGACGACCGCTGCGGTGAGGCCAGCCGCCGAGGATGCCTTGCCCGATGTGTAAATGGCACGCGGCGAGAAGTCCGATACCTGTTTGAGGAACTGTGACTTGGCCGTGCTGGGATCACCCACGATGCATACATTGACATCGCCACGCAACGATGTCTTCTCCGTGGTTGTCTTGGCCACGCCACCAAAGAGCTGGAGCAGAATGCCACGCTTGACCTCATCGTTGCCATATATTGAGGGGAAGAGGCTGCTGATTAGATTCTGGTACAGATTGCGATCCTTGGACATCTCATAGATCTTTTGCCATTCGCCGTCGGTCATTTGTTTCTTCATATCCTCCGCGGTCACCTCGGACATGGGCAGATCGGTGCCGCCAAACCGGGCGGTGGTCGCTTGAACGCTGCACGCAAGGAACGCCATGCGATAGTTGAGCTCTCGGACACCCAGAGCCTTGAGACCGGTGACGCCCTCGGAGCCCTCGCCGGGCTTGTGACGAGAGCCCATTTCGGCCTTGGTGCCGGGCATGCTCAGCACACTGACGTCCGGCACCACGATGAGGGTGCCGGTGAAGTCATAACGATCGCCCGCCTGCACCGTCTCGACCAGCTCGGAACGCAATATAATCTCAACGGCGCGCGGTATACAGCCACGCGGCAGCTCCGCCTGCGTCTCCTGTATGCGAATCTTCTGGAAGTCGAGAAACAGTGATTTCTCCACATCGAGCATGAAACGGCGACGATTGGCGCAAACGGGATTGCGACAAATTGTGGGATTGGTGAACTTGAATTGCTGTTCGACGTTCCGTATCTCTGTCTGGCAGTCGAGGCACATAAATGTGCCCAGCACCAGTTCCGGATGAACGGGATGGGTGCGCACCACCTGGCCGCAGATGCGGATGAGGGTGCCAATCTTCGAGGTGGTCAAATCGCGTACTTTGTGACGCGTCGGCACCTCAGTAAAGGCCACATAACAATCCTTGTTTGTCTTGAGGCCGATGCGATCTTTCACATAGTTGGACACAGATTGGCATAAGAACGGATAGACATGGTAGTACTCCTCGATGATAGCTGTCGCCAGATTCTGATCGTATTTCTCCACATCCTCAAAGCTCACCTCCAGAGTGCAACGATCGGGTGACTCCAGATTGGCCGCTGGACGCGTATATTTGATTTCGCCATCCTCTTTGAATTCCTCGAGAAAGTCTTGAAAGAGCTTCTGTGTGCGTATGCCAACCTCATCCTTGACGCGCAGCTGGCCAATTTGTGCTTCTGCCACATCCATTTCGTTCAATTCGTGCACTCCAAATAAATTGTTAACGCGCAAATACAATTTGCGTTCACTGATGCTATTTGCTTAGCCAGCAGCTGCGTGTTTTGCCAATTTTCGCGCCTTTTCTTGCCACTTAGCGCTGACAGTATCGGCATTTGTGTTATCGATTGCTGTGCAGTGTTATCGTTTCGTGTGAATGCTGCTCTCACTTATGCGTTCAGAGAGATAATTAACTTCCAATAATTATATGTCCGAATTTGCGAAATACTTATGAAATTGTATTTAACTATGCTGTTTTTGATAAACGTTATTTTTCAAAACTCATATGCAGCTGGTGCTGATAAGAACCAATTGATAGTTGCGCGCCTAAATCGACTGGAAATAAATTGGGCAACAAGGCACGCACTATCGCAATGTGTAAGCGATTGCGGGTATTTTTGTAAGTTACCATCGCTAGAGCGTGCGAACTGGCTGCGAGTAGGGAATTATTGATTCCGGAACTTTGTTAGAGAAATACCTTTGCTTGTACCGATTTAACCGAGCACGTTTGCCAATTGCGCGCTAGCGGTGAACAACAAAAGCAATTACCTTCGCTCAACACCTGCGACTGTCAAGTGATTTGGGCCAAACACACACACATACATCCAGCAACCCACACACACACACACAACCAAAATGGTGGACGCTGCCAGACAAATGCTCGATGAGCTAATGGGTCGCAACCGAAATTTGCATCCTTCGGAGGCGGGGCAGGCGGTCAACTGGGAAGATTCAGAGGTGAGTCGCCCATTAAACAGTATTAGCACATTACCTAAGATGTACTTCCTGTGATATAATAGAATATCTTGGCACAGGCGCCTCTCATTTAATGTTGCACTTTTTATGGTTCTCTTTTTTCATTTATATTTTATTATTTTCATTATTTTGCTTTGCCGGCGACGCAGAGTGCATGCTAAATGTCGTGAGACGGCTGAAAAATTGAGGAAAACTCGGTTTGTTTACATTTTTGTTTTGTGTATTTTTGGTTAAATTTAAATCATAAGCATATTAAATAGTTTAAATTGGTTGAAATGCCGGAATAGGGTGGCAAATACTAAATAGTTGTTTCCAATTGCAATAAACCCTCAATTAACATCAGTTACATTTCGAATGTCCGTTTGCAGTTTTGTCAATTCTACAATGTGAAATTCTGTCCACACGATCTGTTTATAAACACACGAGCCGATCTCGGGCCATGCACACGCATCCACGATGAGGAGGCGAAACATCTGTACGAGGAGGCGCGTCCGTCGCAGCGCAAGCGGCACACGGAGGATGAGTTTTTGCGCTTTTGCAATGTGATGCTGCACGATGTGGACCGCAAGATACAGAAGGGGAAGCAGCGATTGCAGCTAATGCAGCGCGATCATCCGTCGGCGCCCGTACAACAGTTGACGAAGCATCAGGAGCAGCTGGGCAATCTGAATGCGCGCATCAACAAGCTGATGGCCGAGGCAGAGGAGGCCGGCATACGCGGCGATGTCGATCAAGCCCAGGAACTGATGACCGTCTGCGAGGAATTGAAGGAGGAAAAGGAAACGCTGCAGCAACAGTACGAGGCCCATGTCAAGCAATACCAAAAGATTCGAACAGCGCCGCCACCGACGAACACAGCCATGCCATCGGTCACGCCCAGTAGCACGCCAACAACGAACGCCGGTGAACCGCCTAGCGGTGACCAGGCGCTGGCCAGTCCCATCATAGCCAACAGTAGTGACATGGGCGCCAATGACAGCACCGAATCAAGTAACGCTGGCGAAGACAACTCCACAAACACAACAACAACCACACAGGCAACGGCAGCGGTAACTGAAACAGTAGCTGCGTCGGCATCCCCAACGGCTAGCACAAATCCCACAGGCGATGACCCAAAGACGGACTCTAATAAAATCGATTCCAAAACGGGTGCCAATTGGTCGCACGATGTGCTGCCCGAAAAACAGATGAAGGTCTGCGAAATCTGTGGCGCTTTTCTCATTGTCGGCGATGCACAGCAGCGCATCGAGGATCATCTGATGGGCAAACAGCATTTGGGCTATTCCAAGCTGCGCAACGCCGTCGCCGAAATCAACGAGCGACGCCAAAAAGAGCACGAGGAGGAGGAGCGAAGGCGTCGCGATGATCGTGTTCAACGCTTTCACAACACCTACGACAACAGGCGGTAAGTCAAAGACGCAAATCTTTAGAATTTTGTAGAGCTCTGTTCATGTCGAATAGATACAGATACAGATAAAGAACCTGGTCTGAGAACTTGTGGGATGGTTCGGATGGGGCTGAGCTGAGGCCACCAGGCGGGTCGCGGGTTGCGGATAGCGAACGGCCTCCCCTCGGGGAGGTTAGCTGCGAATAATACGAGATTTTTTTTCGTAAATAAGCAGTCCCGGACAAACAGCGGGTGCGATTATGTCGATCACACCGACAAGGCGCTTGTGTCGCCGCCTTCTAAAGTATAGCCTCACACATCCCCCTATCTCCCCACAAAACTACCTAGCACATCCTATCCCCTCATCTCACTCCGGGCCGGACTAAGGCGTTATTCGAACCGTGCCGAGAGTCAGCCTGGCTGGGGGCCCGGATCAAAAACTAGCCCAGTCTTTAACTGTGAGCTCAGGCAAATGGCGACCGCCTGTTCTAATTCAGCCTTACCCGGGTATTGCGGATCTCTGCCCGGGCGGACACTTACTTCTCCGCAGCTCGTGGGATTCCATGAATAAGTTACTAAATATAAAGATACCGCAGGATCTCCCTGCGGAACTTGTCGCAAGACAATTAGAGGGTCATACCCCTGACGGAGAACGACCCTTGCGTGTGGTAGACAAGGCAAGGCGCTCAGCGCCCAAAGAGGAAGGGAGAGCTCCGGCCACCAAGGGGTCAACCCGGTGGGCTGGATGACCCGAACCGGAGAAATCTTTGCGGTTCAAGGGTCAAGTGGTACCTCCAGCAGGGACTCAGCCCCGATGAAGCCCTGAAAAAGGCCAAAGAGCCCAGGGAGGAGGTTGCAGCACCTGCGCTAGCCTCGAAAAGGCGGAGCAGCAGTCTCATATCTCCGGTGGCCACCCCCAAGAGGATGTGCCCGGGGGTTGTGGGCGCTGCCCGCGGCTCGGCAGCGGCAAAGGTGCTGAAGAACAATGGGGCAGGTAATCAGGACCTGCGCCCAAGCACATCGCGTGCAGCGGCCACGAAGCCCAGCTCGCCGACACCCACCGAGCCTCGCCTGTCCTATGCAGACATGGCAAAAAAGTAAAGGTGGCTGTGTTGCCCGTGGGCTTCCCACGGGTCATGCTCAGTCACGGAGATTTATCTGTGTTGGAAGAGGCCATCATTGACGAAGTCATTGCGTCTGATAGAGATGTCGCGGTCTCATTCGTGGGCATTCACTTCCGGGTTGGATTCCTGGTAATTGAATGCTCCGCTGAGACCTCAGCCGATTGGCTAAGGATCGCAACTTCGAGGCTACAGTCGTGGAAGGGCGTGCCCCTTGAGTGGGCAACACCACCATATCGGATACTCCTGCCCCGGAGCAGGGCAGTCCGACTGCGCAGCCCACCGACCCGTCGGAGGACCTCGCAGATGACGAAGAACTGGCAGATGCGACGCTCTGCCAGGAGGAGATGCTGGGGGACGACGATATCCCCATGTCCTCGCAGGAGCTGCAGGATGCACCTGCAGCTGACGTCACTATGACGAGCAGCGGTGACGGGGACAGCTCCAGGCCCCATTCACCGTGTCAGCTGGAGCCTCCCCAGAAGTAGATGTCAAAGGGCATCAACACAGGGCTAGCTCAGGTAAACATCCACCGAGCTAAGGCAGCCTCGGTGCGGTTGGTCACCGTGAAGAAGCAACTACAAAAGTTGCAAAGGATGGCCTGCGTATGTATGACAGGAGCTATGCGCACCTGCCCTACAATGGCCTTGAAGCCTTAATGGAGCTTACACCACTCCACCATATCATAAGGCTCAAGCAGAAAGCCACGCTTCCAAGGATATCAGCAGAAGGAGTTGGGGGCAATCATATCCTAAGCCACAAAGATGCCCAACTCCTTTCAAACGAACTGACCCTGCTGATGCAACCTAGGGACGAAATGGTAGCCGAATACATATTCGAGCGAAATTTCACAGTTTGTATGAGCAATAAAAGGGAATGGAACTTAGAAACGAGGAGAGGCAAAGACGGCATCAGAGCTGGTCGGAGGCAGTGGGACTCCGACAAGCCAGATGTCTTCTAGGTGGTTTTAATCTTGTACGATTTAAACAAATTATAACCATGGGAAAGAACAGCCTTAGGATACTCACCGGTCTATTGACAGGACACTGTAGACTAAGGAGTCACCTGGCAAAACTGGGTATATATAGTAGCGACCTGTGCACGTTTTGTGAAAGCGAGGAGGAATCCTCGATACACATCCTGGCAGAGTGTGTCGCCTTAGCTAGAAGAAGAAGCAGCCTTCTAGGGGCGCATGTTTTGAAGTGCAAAGACATAGAAGACCTCAACCCAACAAAGATCCTCGTATTCGTGCGGGAGTTGGGGCTGATGGAAGAGCTATAAGCTCAGAAGGGGCACAATAGATCTAATAGTCGCGGTGCAGTTTTTCCCCCCAGTAATAATAATCATAAAGGAGTGGGTCTCTAAGTTAAGCATCATCTGATGAGAGAGCAGGCGATGCACTTTTCTAATGTCTCCATTTCTATTTGTATAATTTCAACTCGAATTCCATCGCCATCGCCATCTCGCTCGCATTCGTGCAGAGATCAACGCTCTGATTATCGGGAACGCAGTCGTGACTATGCGCCGAATCGACAGTCATCTGATAGACGGCATCGTAAGTATTGCAATTGCACAACATTGAACCGATAAGCTCTCATTCCGTATTCCGTTGCAGATCACCACAAATCATCGCATCACGGTCATTCGTCGTATTCGCGGAGTGGCAGCCACAACAGGACCAGCAGCAGCAGCAGCAGCACTCGCAGTCGACACAATCATTATCGGCACGACAGTCGAGAGCGTCATTGTCGAAGTCGTAGTCGCAGTCGCTACTAGTGGCGGATACAATAATACCAAATACAAACAGAAGAACAGCAACACCAACAGCAACAGCGCAACAGCAACAATTCTATGAACAAGTACAACAAAAGCAGCCAGCAACAGCAGCAAAAGTTGTAAATCAACATAATAAACATATGAAAAAAATGAAATGAAAATGGAATAATCATAAAACAACAGCTCTTGTAAATCATTGAAAATGCAAGTTAGACGGAGATACCCAACAAACAACAACAACAAACAAACAACAATCATCAACCCACACGAACGAGAAAAAAAATGCGAGAACTTCAAACATCTCTAACCACGCCCAATCGCGCTGCCCTTCTTCCACTCTCTCTCTCACACTCACTGTCTCTCTGAATGCAGCAACGAGGTACTCCAAATAATAATAACACATTTCAATAATCTGTATAAAAAAAAAAAAACAAAAGATATATAAGATCACAGTCAAAAGGGGAACACATGTGTGACACGTGTGAACCTTCCAAATATGCGAATAGAGGTGAGTCGAACACACTTTATTATACGCTAATCGTACTCGTACACCTACTCGTAGTCAAAAAAAAAAAAAAAAACCAAACCAACCAAAAAAGAAAAACCAAAAAAACAAAACAAATTTCAAATGGAATTTCAATTGTACAGGCAAGAGACAGGCACAGAATGTCTAGTTTCCAACTATCGCTTGCTCAAATCCCAAAACAAAATACATATAAATCAACAAAAAATTAAATCCCTTGAATTCACCATCACAGATACACGCCCACATATACACTCACAAACACACATTCACACACAGAGACACATATGTTGTGCGTGTTTATTACTAACATATCGATGTATTCCTGTTCATAGTGATCTTTAAATCATCCTGTTCTATATCCTCTTATTCACACATAATTATGTATGGAATACCCATTCTCAAAACATCAAATAACTTTGTACTCTGTGTAAAATCGTTTTACATTTTGGATGGAATGCAACAAGTGATGCTCGAATCATGCACATTGTCCGTTTGATTTAGGTAGCGAATATTCTATATATTAAAGATTCTCAAGGATTACGAGGAATATTGCAGTACTTTTGAATATATTTTGTTGCCGTGTTCGAAATTCGAACTTCAGGTTTCCATCAAACTTGACAAGACTCGTCACAAGTTTTGTGTTCGGTATTCATTCAAAAGCCATTTGCCCAAAAACAATATAAAAACCGAAACAGGCCAAGCACAAGTCTATATATTTGTACATTAGAGCGAAGCGAACATTCGATGATACTGCAGACATTATCTTTAGTCGTCAGATTGAATTTAGGAAGTTAAAGTTAAGGCAAGCAATCAATTTATTTACTCTACCCCAATGTACATATGTACATACATATATTACATGTATACATATAGAAAACTAATGACTCCGATAACTGAGACATGCCCGACAACTGGACAGACACGACAGATGGATCAAATTGCCATAAGAATGTGGAATACTTGTTCTGGGGGTGAATCCATTCGATGTGATCGTGATCGATGTGTGAAAAAGAACTAATGGAATCAGGTTAGTTGAATTTTTGAACATTCGACTATTGGTGTATGGTTTTTATTCGTCCACTCCTTGAGGACAGTATTCACAGCAACATTTACACACACTCACACACACATAGACACAGATACACACACACACTCAGACACAGATACACACACACACACAAAGAGAAAATACTCAAAGATCGCTGGGAATGAAAGTATATCCGTGTTGTACCTGTTATTGGAGATACGTTCAATTGATTGTACCAGGTATTTACAACTCGACAACAAGTTAACTAACCTCAAAAATCAACCAATCAATCTTAAGTATATGCATATACAATATTATGATATATGATACATATAATGTAACACCACCCACACAGATCGCGTTTGCATGGGAATGGCATGTGCTTCTTTGTGGTTCGCGGTTCGCGGTTCGCGGTTCAGCGGTTCAGCGAATCAGGGATCCCCGATCCCAAACACAGCGTTTTTATTAATTGCTACCCAATCAGGGTCAGGTTTGCAGGGCCCAGAGGTACGTAATCCTCTCGATGTCTCTCTCTCTCTCTCTCTCTCTCTTTCTGTTTCTCTATATCTCTATATATATCTCTCTCTATCTCTCAATCTGTCTATAAATGAATCTCTCCTGTAGTCATATAGTAGGAAGTGTCCATCATTGTAATACAAAGTCAATGAAAAGACATCTAAAGGCTCTCGCACACCCAAGAACAACATAAGAACATACTTCTACTTAACGGCATTCCCAGACTCGCATGTGCGTCAGGTACATTTTCTATAAATAATATTTATGTCAATTCCAAATAGAAACACGATGTTTCCACTCACATTACTTGCTCTACACACATAAATCCGATAATTAAAACAAGCTTACAAAGTACAAATTATACTTCAATTCTGAAATGTTAAGTTACTCAATTTGATCATTTATATTAAAAGTTTGCCGCTATTTATATAGAGATAAATATAATTTTTTGATGTCAGAAATCTATTTGGAAAGGACATAGTAGCTTCGGCAATGCCGAATTCGTTTTCATGTTTATCGTTGTTGTACTTTCCAATGTACATACTTACCACATACATACTAAAAGTTCCAAATGAAATGAGCAAATTAATCGAAAAGTAATAATTAATCGAAAACGATGAGAGAAGAAGCAGTGATCGATATATTTTGGGTCGAATTCGAATTCGAGCTTGCACAATTATCGTTATCGAAACGTTAGACGATCCGAGCAGAACTATCGAGTCAATCATGATGATGATGACGAAGAAGAAGAGGTAATTGCAATTGAATTCAAAAATACCAATCAAATTTGTAAATTTCTTTTAACTAACATACACTGATAATATGCCTATCTATGCATGCATGCATATATGTATGTATGTATGTATGTATATATTGCATATTATGTATGTGTATGCATGTAGATGCTTAACATCCGAAACCACACACGATTTGTATATAGGTAGGCGAGAGCCGTACGAAATAAAATGCGCCACAGCCACAAATTGCCAGGCAGCGTGTGAGGCCACCAAACATTATACGAATTTGACCCCCATTCAAGTTATGTAATTCAGACTGCCAGACTGTGTAATGTGTATGTATGTATATGTTCAACCGCCCCTTAAGTCCCAAATATATCCAGGTAAATTTTGATTATAAAAAGTACATTAAAAATACTAAATAATACACACACGCTACAAAATCTGCATACTTTGTATAAACATCTATTAACTAAACATCGTACGTATTAAGAAACCTTAGAACTTAAGCAGCTTACGGCCAGAAAACTTTCAAAAGGTTTAAATAGAAGACAAACAACTCCGAATTCTCAAAACCCCTCAAAAGCCTGCCCTCTCTGTCAAATTCCCAAATATATTGCTTACTTATTTACTGGTGGGTTCATCAACTAAACAGAATTGCTTTAAATACCATTCTCCAAATGGAATAACAGAAATCAACAATAACAAACATATTACGCCCCTATTTTTTTTTTATATACATATATATATTTATACTATTTACTTACGACATCCACGAGTATCGAATCTAGTACTTACAATATACATACATGCATATCTACAATGTATATATTCGTTTACACCAAAATTTGTAAAAAGAAAGAGAAAAGAATTAAAAAACAAGTCTACACTTGACTTTCACTCGCAGCGGTGTAAATACATATGTATATGTATGTACATGTGTATATGTATTCTGATGTATGTATGTGCAGGCCATTGGGCATGTCCTGCTGTCCGTATAGGCTCCACGTATTTAATACTAATGCCACTCTCCAAACATTGCAGGATCAATGATGGGCGCCAATGTTTGAAAGGAGCGGACTTCTCTCGCCACTCGCTTTTCTGTTGTGATCGATTGTGCCTGCTGTGATGATCTTCTCCAGGTAACTGCTATGCCCACAACATCCAGTAATGTTTCTTCAAGACAGACGAATGCCGACGAACAGCAAGCAGCGAGTAACGAGCAACGAGCAATGAGTAACGAGTAACCAGTGACGGGCTCACCCTAAATCTACCACTCATGTTAACTGTAATAAGCATGAGATACGAGGTGAATTTCAATTTCTCTCCTTTCTATCTCTTTTTCTATATACAAAGCTATATTCATATACATATTTTTATATATATTTATACTTATATATATATATATATATATGGAAAAATGTGTATTTATATGAGCATGTATATGCCTATATACATCCTATATATTGCTCTCTATCTCAAACTTTCTCTGTCTGTTTCACACATAAAATTGAAGGACAAACAAACAAACAACACACACACACACACACAAAAGAACAATAACAATTGTTAGATATTTTCTTTTATCGGCATCGTTTTATCTTTCACAAACATGATAAACATATATGAATTACTATATACTTATGTGTCGAATATCAAATATCGATATTCCGCGTAGTAGCGTTTGTGAAGGATAACGCGTCGCCTGCGGCCATGACGCAATCGCCTTTCGTTATGTATTTAGCAAAAATATATATATATTTTAATTTCATTTAGTTCTTCGCGTACAAAAATGTTTGATTGCCGAACGAAAAACTAATAAATATATACGATAAAACAAAGAAGTAAAAACATGAAAAATGTAGTCATAAAAGCATCTTACACTTAATACATACTATTACTATTAATAATGATAACATTCAAATTCGAAACTCGCAATAATTTTTCAATAATATTAAAAAGAAAAAAACACTGAACAAAATAAAAATCAACTTTAGCAAGAGATTGCACAAAATCCTGAATTTTCTTGTTTTTTTTCTTCGTAAACTCCTTTGGTATTGAATTTGCCGAGTAAGCGTTATGATTCCACTCGCTGCATAGATCGTAAATACTTCAATGGTGATGAGGCCTGCTTGAAGTGGGTTATTATAAGCTCGGAGAGGTGAGAGAGTAAAGCTAGCAATTCTATGAAGGATATCGCATCCGCATCTTTGGATCCATATGAATCGAGACTGTTTATTCAATTCCCAGCATAATGAATCTTGTTTCAGCAAAGGAAGAAAATAGGAAAATATTCACAACAGCTGAAAACAAACATTGTTTGATAAATGAAAATATATATGTATTGCTTTAAATTTTCGATAAATTTGGTGTTTCAGATAATAATTTTAAGTAATGTCTGAACGTTTCTTACAAATTCTCTCAAACAGCGTTTAAGATATGCGATTTAAGAAGGTAGCCCAATTCGAAAACTATCTCTGAGAGCAATAGAAAGTAGCTTTTGAAGAAAATACAAATGTTTCGCAATAGCAATTTGTATTTTCTATACAAGGTTTGTATATGAAATTATGTGTGACTCAGATGACGTTTTCCTACCAATTTGAAAAATGCAAAATAAAACCAAGAAAAGTTGCATGTTTTATCTTTAGCGATTGTGTATATTTGTTGTAATCTTTTGTTTGCTTGTATAGATAATATGTATACGTATAAGTTTGATGTTTGCACTTACTATTTGCATTTGCATTTATAGTTAATATCTACAATTTAGATATATGTATATATATATATATATATATGTATATGTAGGCGTCCTATATATATATATATATATATATAGATATTTGTATGTATAATGGTCTATGTAAATATAGCTATGCATGTATCAATTTCGGTGATTTAACAATATCATATTAAAACGGAATTTTCATCATCTATTAACATAAATTCATAAGGGGGTGAGAGATGAGAGCGAATACAAAACAAATATATATATATTTTTTGAAAAGTTATTTGAATATTTTACAAACATTTAATTTTATAAACAGATTGATTGTGTATAATAAGTGTAAGCATAATTATAAAGATGATGTGTAAATATTTTGTAAAAACAAAGTATGAGGAAAACCAAAGGAAAACAAAAGTAAGTAATCAGCATTGAGCAATTGAGAAAATTTTCACTAACTTACATTGAGTACTAATAACAAATGATTCGCTGTTTGTTTTCTGTTTTCTAATTTTTTGTTTTTTTAAAATTTTTACAATATTTTGCTGGGCAACTTTAAACAATAATTTTGGAAAAATTATTGCTTTTGCACTTTCAACTTATCCTCAAAAGTTGCTTGGTAAAAAAAGGAGTACCCAAAGCAACTACTTGTATTTTTTTTTTGCGTTGTGTATAGTTTTTAAATTTTTTTTTTTTTAAATTCACAGTTATAAAAGTTGTAGTGCTGGCAAATGCGTTGCCCGATCATTCAGCACGGATAAAAAAAAATGTATATATATATATTTTAATACCTAAAAATGTATGTAATATGTATGCGTATTTTGGGTATGTCTTGGTGTGTGTATGTGTGTGTGTGTGTGTGTGAATGGGAGCATGTGTGTTTGTATGTGTGTGTGTGTGTAAGGGAGACATTTCGAGAAAATAGGGCAGCGGACAATTTAGGTATCAGGCTGTAAACCGAAATTGTGCCTGGTAGATCGCCAGCTTATCAGGGTGTAGCATCAGAGGTGAGACAGCGCTGGCTGGAGTGGATCGCTGGATTGTGGCTGGTCGTGGTTGTGGTCCTGGTCCTGGCCGTGGTCCGCTGCTAGTGGCAATGCTCCGTCACATCCACAATGACCGATTTTTTCCAGCAGAATAGAAAGTAACCGACACCGGAGCCCAGCACGACCATCATACAGAGCCACACGTTGTAGGTCATGAAGATCAACATCAGCAGGAAGGAGAGCGTCACCTGGAGTACTTGCAGCAGCGTCTGATACAGATGGTTAATGGACAGCATCGTGGGTCTGTAGTGCAATAGGGTCAACACAACATTCAACATTTGATTAGATTGTTCAACGATCAGGTCAAGTAACCCAGACCCCACTCATTTCAACCCACAATAATCGAACAAATAAATAAATAAATAAACGTTACTGGTATTACAAATAGACATATACAAACAAACATAATTATTAACAAGGTTATTTTTGGGTTGCACTTAATTTAATTGCGTATAACGGCTCAAAAGATTATCGATAAGTGGATATCGAACTCATTTGCAACGAAAAAGAGCGCTGTTTTTATGAATACTAAACAAATTAGAATACAATTTAGTTTCTATAGTTAATTCATAGTAGTGCTTTCGATTAAAACAGGGAAACATCAGAAAATCACAAAATAATTGTATTTCTGAAATTTGCTTCACAAGGTGCATTATTATTGAGTTAGACAAAGTTCTATAGACGTTATGTACTACTTTTTTTTTTATTTTTCTTACAGTTACATCAAATTAGTGTGCAAATTTGGATTGTTACGCAAGTGTGCAGTCAGACTGAAGTCTGTAATTTAGATTTGATAATTATGCAATCGATATCAACAAGTTGGATCGGATTGCAAATGTTGTCATCGCCAATGAGGCGCGCGTTTTATTTCTTCAAATCAATCGATAAATTAACGAAGTTGGCCACACGCTCAATTAACGAAGTTCGCCACACGCTCGAAAGAGAGCGTTAATTATGTGTGCAATTGAGACGTGTAACATACACACATATATACAGACATACATACATACGGCATACATAGGAGTTACGATACTTACGGTTGTTTGTGCACAACTTCGCCAACGTATCTGAGGATATGAACATTGTGGCGTTGGCGTAGGCACAGTTAACGGGCAAACGGTAAACGGGTAACGGTTGCGTGTGTTTGTTTTATACGAATACAGATGGGGGAGAGGAGCGAAATCAATATCAGATTGTTATCGTTATCGTTATCAATTTTCAGGCGCGGCAAGATTTCACGATTTTTTTTTTTTTTTTTATAAATATTCATGTGATTATAATAACAATAATAATTATTAAATTAGTTTGATTTTTGTTGTTGTTTTGTTTTGTACATTTGTTGATCAATATTAAATGATGAGCATAATTTACATGATGGCGCGCAAGTTTTTGATATAGTACAGATGATGACGCAGAGGCGAAAAGTGTATGATACACACAAGAGACGAGGCATTAATATGTAACGGTAAACGGCAACGGCAAACAAAATAGCGAGAGAGAGAGAGAGAGAGAAAGAAAAATATATGTAGAAAAGCATTAGAATTGATATTTACAGCAGACACAACAAGGCACAGGACGAGAGGCACGCAGGCAAACAAAAAAAAAAAAAACAAAATAAAAGAGAAAATAAACTGAACAACTAGAAAATGCGAATGGATACTCACTGCACGGGCGAGGGGGCTGCTGCAGCGGATGGTGGGGGTAGTCGTGGTGCCTCCGGATTGCGCTGTGGTCCCGTCACCGGTCGATACTCGAGCAGATTGTACGTTTTCCAGAACAGATACTCGCGATAGTATTTGAGACCCTCGTAGAGCAGCGCCAGCAGAAAGATGGCAATCATGGAGCCAATGAGACCAGCGACCGTCTCAATGTGCCACCAGGAGAACAGTATTGTCTCATCATAGCCAAAGTGGAACTGTCCAAACAGCAGTAAAATATCACTCATCATTTTAAATATCCAAATTGAAATCGAAGTCGAAATGTGTATGTATCGTATATCGAAATGTGTTTGTATTTTGTGATTTGGCACTGGCACTTACCGCCATGGACATCATGTGCTCCATGCCGTGTCCGGTGCCGCCACTGCCATGATGATGCGACGAATGCCCGCCCATTCCCATATCACCGTGAGACGTCTCCAGCGGCGGACTGAGCGTTGTCGTATCCATTGGCGCCATGTGAGCGTGATCGTGATGCATGCCGGCGTGATCGTGTCCATGCATGGAATGGTCTATCAGTTCTGGCCCAATACAAATACACAAATTTAACAATTCATTTAAAAACTAATCAATAATGTTATGAGTAATTCAAAATATTATATGATTTGCAGATGTTCCAGTTCCACTGTTAACGAAAGATTCGCACATGTGGCAACATTGGCAACAAGAACCGTTATTGTACTCACCAACACCAATACTGGGTGCGCTGTGATGTGCATGTGCGTCCATTTTGTTTTTCTTCTTCTCTTTTACTCTTCCAAGTGCTACGATCTGGGGCCGCTTTTGTATTACTTTATCTACGGTGAAAGTTTAATGAACAAAGAACTAGCAAAATACAATTAAAATGGAAAATATAACAAATCCAAATCTGGGTTTGAGATTTGCCTTTTCAAATTTCGGGTTGCCTTTTCAATTCACCGTTGTTTCCAAATCAATTGTCCGACCAGCAAATGTAATTGGAAAGTACACAACTCATTTGCAACCAACATACAGAAATGACGCAGCTCAGCCACAAGACATTTACTCCCGTTTCGGAGCCACCTTTCACCTTGCCCCCATCACCCGACCCCCTGTCTAGCTAACCATAGCAGCTTAGAGAGTTAAGAAAGTGAGGAATGCCATTTTCCCATTGTCTCAGCATTCCTCAAATGAAATTAAATTCCTCAACGGAAGTTCTCAGTTGGGGAGTTGTCATCCAGCCTCAACCTAACCCAACAATTAAATCGATTATCGATTTAAGTTAAGTTGAGCAGAATTCTTGAGCTTAAGCGAAACACGCCTCAGTTTTTTTTTTATGTGGTTGATGTTTTAATTAATAATAATTATTACTTATAGCGAGTACTAGTTGTATTTAAGAGTTGTTCCGTTTTCGGGACACTTGACCGACTAATTCGAGTTTAGCGTCAACTTGGGCATTATCAACTGAAAATTACATATGAGAACAACATGTTGGACTTTATCACATTTTGGCTTACCGCAAAATTCACAAAAGTTGAACTGCAGCCAACGAGGGAATTTTGAATTAAGGCCTTTATTTGTGGTGTGTGTGGCAGCACATATACACACATACACACACACACACACACACACACATCATATCAGAATTGCTGACAAAATAAATGATAAGGTGCATTAGGGGTTTTCGTGTGCTTGCGGTTTTTGTTTGTTTTTGTATGGGATAGTGAGGGAAAGAGGGGGGGATGGGAGGGGAGGGGAGTACATGCAATCAGCGCAATATGTACGACTATACGAATAGCGGGTACCAAGTGCATGCAAAGTATGCCTATATACTATATAATAATATTCAAAATTCGCATATTTAGGCATGGGAATTTACCAGCAAGTCGAATCTTTCAACTTACATACTTATATGTAATATCATATATATATATATACATCTAGCATTTGTCAAAGGTATTGTCGTTGTTTTATACGATCGCAGATAAGTAATACTATTTTTTGTTGTATTGTAATCAACGATCGCTAAACAATTTGTACATTTCGTTGTAGTGAGTTTTGAGTTCAGTTAACAACTATCTCGCCTCCCTCTCTCTCTCTCTCATTATCTCTTACACGATCTCTCTCTGTTTATAGCTGAAGAATCAGGTTTGATCTTAACTGCAATACCTCATTTCTCGCAAAGTAAAATTAATCGCAGAAAAGACAAAGAAAAAAAACCAGGCCCCGTTGATAGATACCACATTAGAGACTATGCCATTGGGCATTGCCAGTCACCAGACTCTCCACTCTCCGTATCCGGGCTTTAATTAGACGAGAAACAAGTTCCGAATGGAATTAGACATGCCGTGCAGCAACAAGCAGCAAGCAACGAGCAACAACCGCAATTTCGTAGTTAGAAAACCCAATTCGGAGTCAGCTTAATATAATGATATGTACACATGTATTGTAGTATGTAAGCCAGCCATTAGACTAACAAAAGGAAACCGCAATAAAAAGCGGTTTGAGGGATTGTTTTTTATTATTATTATTATTACTTTTTTTTGGCTACGTGTTCTCTAGCCAAAGTTAAGGTAAATTCATATCTCAAATGCTGACCCAAAAATAAACTATCAATTATAGAAAGAAGAGATCAAGTTAAGACCATCTTTTTTTGAAATAGATCACATAATGCCCAAATGAGAAATAGTTCTCTAGTTGAGCATAATTTAAAACGGTTTGAAGTCATTCGGCATTTTTGAAGCCCGTCCACCAAATAGTCGCTCACCTTGACGTCTGCGGTGCTGGCAAAGGTTTGTTAACTGGTCTAACTGGCTGGCTTGAATGGATTGGCTTGGAGGTGGCTTATGGCCAGCCCCGTTAAAGCCTCATAAAAAGAAAAGTTACAGCAACAAACAACTTAAGCAAGAGAAATAATTCCTATATATATATAAATATATATAGATGTATGTATTTCTTTTCTGTTTCGCTCATAATTAAAACTTAACTAGATTCACTTTACATTCATTTCGTGTTTGCTGGTAACCAGTCAGCATTATTATTATTATTATTATTAAAGAATTCACTTAGGAAATATTCTTAATTGAGTCAAAATACTGATAAAATGAATAATCACATATTCTCTGAGTTGGCTGTAAATTTTGTACATGCTGCAATCGTGTCGTAATCAGCTAAGACTTGATTGCAGTTTCATGGGGTATTTGATGTGGATCGGCATTCACCTCCGCCTCCTCCTTCTTCTCATCAGGCTGGCAACCGATCTCCTGGAGGGCTGGTATCGATGCGATGGGTCGAATGTCCTGCATAGCATTCTCTTGCCGTACAGTCATCTCTTTGAGCACCTGTTGCTGTTTGCGTACCACAGATTTAAATTTCCTAGTCGCAATGGTCGGATGCAGTTCGCAGTGCATGAGAGTGGCCCCATTGTGAGCTGGCGGAATGTAATTCTCGTAGATGGTGCCAGCGAGCCGAATGTGGGTGCAGAAGCTCTGCTTGCGAAAGAAACCGATGGCAGGGCCACTGGCATAGGTGAGCAGATGCCTCAGACTCTTGCTGAGAACATAGTCTTTCATGTGACCCATCAGACGACCGCCGTGGCCCTTTAGCTGTTCCGACGACACAATCGCACAGAAGACAATCTCAATGAATCCCTGGGTGGGAAACGACACAAAACAAATGCCACCAATTGGCTGGCCACGCTTGACCAGAGCCAGCGTCTTTGAAGTGGGATCGAACAGCACATCGCTAATATATTCCGGCGGCATCCGAGGCGACAGCTCCCCCATAAATATCGATTGCAAAGCGAGCAGAGAAGTCTTTGATTGTGTGTCCAACGGTTTCGCCATTGAGCTGCCAAACAGATGCAACGTAATGAAATCGTTGGCAATATTCGAAAGATTCTCAACAGCCACAGCATTATTTGCAGTATTTGCTTTGTTGGGCGACTTCAGCAGTGGCAGTCGCATTTGTGGTGCACCTCTTACGCCACAGCATGTGGCAACGGCAGCCACAACAGGTGGCTCATTCTCGTCATTCTTAGTGCTCATTGCTGGCCTCGATTCGTATTTCATTTGATTCATAGACAGATCGTCGGGATCAGAGTTATGGAATTGTAGTAATTGTCTCTCCTCTGCTGACTCGCACCAATTACCACCCCACATGGGATCGCCCTTAATCATATTTCTTTTTTTTGTTGCCTCTTCCTCTTTCTCTACTTCAAAAACAATAAACAAATAACCATTAAACGGAGATTGTAATGCAACTCGAAACATTTAACATAGATACTTCAACAACATCACAATCTAAATTAACAAATTACAAATTCCAAATTACACACACACACACATACACATGCTTATGCTTATCAAATACTACTTATTGCTTTGAATTGTTAGTTCATAAATGATGTGATAAATTTGACTTTCACATTTGGCAACAATCGCCGTGAGAGACAAGATCAAAGATCAGCTAAATTGCGAATTTTGACTTGGTTACGGGCATTTGGTTTTTGATTTTTAGCTGTCTTTGCTTTTTTTTTTGCAATTCGGTAAACGAACTCCCAAAAATTGCGTTTTTTCCGTTTTAGGTGTGTAAGCAAAAAAGACTTTCGCTTTTAGCTGGATGAATTAGCTTGGATTTAAATGGTATATTTATGGACTGTGTGTGCACACACACTCAAACATATGTATGTATGAATATTCTTTGATTATGTGCAAAACTTTCGTTGATATTGCAGCACTGATATTTGAAAAGAAAGAAAAACATTTGCATATGCATAAATAAGAGCTAGATAAACATGGAATGGTAAATATATAAATGTAAGCTTATCATTCAGTAATACTTAACACATATAAAATTACCCTCATTTTATTCGCATTAATAATGCACTATTTATCTATTGTGCATCGTAATGCAAACACTTGTTATCGTTTTTTTTTTTATGTGTTTGAGCAACACTGAGCAGAGAGCGAAAGAGAAAAAGAAAGTGACTCTCTGGCAGACACTTGACAATGGGAGACTGTGATTGGTGCATGGATTCGCCGGTGCGTTCATTCATTTATAATGCCAAAACGATGCAAGCTTTTGAGAGCGAGTGTGTGTGTTGGTGTCTGTTACGTCACAGTGCGCGCTACATTCAAGTTTCGAGACAATTACAAAAATTGCACGACTCGATCACAATGCAAAATCGATCACAATGCAAAACAGATACAAATACCAAGACACACACACACACACACATATGCACATACACGCAGGTGACGACGTAAATGCATATAACTGTTAAATGGCGAATCAAGTGATTAACGAACGAGGCAGCCCCCCACTCCCCGCTCCACTTATGAACGGTCCCTCGCACGTTCTTTCGTTCTTTTGTCAACTGATAAGTGTTGTTATATAGATTAAAAGAAAGGCAACTACAGCAACAATATTTATTGTACTTACTGCACTTGACGGCTGCGCCTGCGAATACAAATACTACGAACGGATAATAAGCCGGTATATATATCTATATACTTATATATACTCAAAAGGGAATGTGTGCAAAGCTGAAACAGAAATCAGTAATGTGAATAAGCAAAATAAATGTACATCATTTATCTCAATTTTTTTTCTTTTTTGATTTGGAATCACTGTCTCAAGTACGCCCGCTGCATGCACACACATACACACACACACAGTCACTTTACGCGTAGAGAGAACAACAGGAACAACAAAATCCGTCGTTTGGCGCTTTGTAGGAGGAGCAGTCAGATGCACAAGCACAACGAGAACAGCTGTTCATAACGGCAAAAATGGCCAATGTGAAACAGACGACTAAATGACGTTTGTTTGCAGGTGGTTCATCGTCCAATAAAATCATGCTTAATTTTGACAGTTGATAGTTTCCACTTGTACACTTTGTTCATTTTATACACGACATAACTCAAAAAAAAGTGCAAGGAAAAAAATAATTGAGGAAAATCCCGCACTGTGGCAACGTTATTTAATCACATATCAAGCATGTTTTAATTTGCATATGTGTGTGTGTTGCAGGCTTATGAGCTACATTGTTGCACTATCGGACTGCAATTAAGCTATTGTTTATTTTATAATACTGCGTTATTTACTTCGTTTTGCCGTATTGATATCAAAGCAATGAGAAACTAAAATGCGCACGTCCGTTCGCAGACAACTTGTTCGCACGATTAAAGTGCCAGCTTCGTCACGGCCGCGCAGCCGAAAACGATTGTTGAGCTTTTTTTCCTTGCAAATCGATTCTTTAGCTATCGAGTACTTTTTTCTTTTTGCATATCGATTATGGAAAGTTTCGTGTGTGCTGTGTGTATCACTAAAACAAAGCTCACTTATGGTTAATATAATTGAATACTTATTGTATAATTACAATATTATGTCATAGGAATTGCAAATAGAAAAAATAAATATTAAGGTAATCAGTTGTGTAGTGTGTACACAGCTGGTTTTAGTGTCGCAAAAAGTGTGTACACACTGCACGGTCTGCAGCCGCAACAACAGTGTGTACCTATAAAATTTAGTTGGATGAATATTTACATGCACTGCGCAATAAATCGAGGAAAAGCGTTTATTAACAACCATAAAGTATGTTAAAATTATTATTGATGATTGCCCGTTTCTTATACTGATTGATTTCATCTCTTGAATATTAGCATATACATTTTTGGCACTTGCTGCTGCAGTCAAAACAAAACAACAACAAAAGCACGTGCAACGTGCATCGTTAGCTGCAAGCAAATCGGCAGCAAATTTCCTTTCAGCGAAGACAGATATAATATTAAAAGCGCATCAGGATGGGTATGGTACAGAAGCGCAAGAAGATGCACTATGGCGACACGCATCTGCAACGTCGCTGGCGTGTACGGAATCGTCGCCGGGATCTGGACCAGATCGATGACGATATGCGAACGCAGAGCGCCGAGCTAATTAATCAGAATGTGGATCTAGATAAGCCGGGATTTGCGCAATTCTATTGTGTGCACTGTGCCAAGTACTTCATTGATGACACTGCGCTGCAATCACATTTCCACACCAAGGTGCACAAGCGCCGACTCAAGGCGCTCGAGTTGGAGCCGTACAGCATCGAGGAGTCGGAACGGGCCGTTGGTCGCGGCAGCTACCAGAAGGCCAAGAAGCGAGTCATCGAGACGCAGCCGAGCAAGGATGAGGTCAAGGCGGGCAAACGGATCAAAGTGGAGGATAAGGACACAGAAGAGCCCACGACATCAGCAAAAGTGACACGAAAGAGACCCAACAAAATGGAGACCTAAATCTTACATTTTATAGATTAATACATTTTTTTCTTCTATTATCATACAGTATCTCACAGCTTATTTCGGCAGTGTCTGGCAAAAATTTTAAAGTGCTATAAAGTTTAAACAAAGAAACAAACGCAAAATGTTTAAATGTCAATTTGTTTTATGTTATATCACGTTTGAAAAGGAAACTTCAGTTTTCATTAAAATGCTAGACACTGCCGAAATAAGCTGTGAGACACTGTATGTCAACTTTTGCAAATCTTAAAAAACAAAATAAATTGTATACATAAATATGTATATTTAGATATATTCAAATCACAGGTTTTGTCGTGGAACTAACGAAAGAAATCATTTGGTTCGTAGAGAATTTGAATTCAATTTGACTTGAAATCGAATTGAGGACTGCATCCAAAAAAAAAACCTCTTTTGCTTCTGCAAATTGCAGGGCATAATTTTAAACAGATTGAAACTCTTTTCCCCAACTGGCCAAAAGACTATTTCAATAATTTCAAAATGTACAAACTACATTATAAATTCTGTCCGCAAAAAAAAAAAAAAACAGTTTTATGTGTATAATTATATATATATATATATATATATATATATATAGAGGTACATATATATATATGCGTGTATATATAGTTATAAATTTTATAATGTATTTTTGGTGTACATATAGTGGGGTTTTTATCAAAAACCAATCGAATCCGATTTGGATTTTCGATTTTGAGTATAATAATGAGCGCTCAAAACAATTATGAGGTATGTTTTTTCCATTTGATTTGTTTCTCTGTTCATGTACTCTGCTTATTGTATATTTAATGAAGTAAAGTTCTCCAAATGTACAAATAGTTCTTATTTTTCGTTTCTTTCTTTGTTGTTTGTTGATTTTTAAGTAGTTGCGTCCGAGGACGGCAATTTGGGTTTTCGGCTTTGTGATCCCTTCTAATCCTCACTAAAGATATGCATGGGGCTGCTAGATGATAACTGGGCAGTGTTCATGACGATGATGAAGGTGATGGTGTGTGTGTGTGAGTGGTGTAGGTGTGTGTGTGTGTGAGTGTACATATGTACATGTTATATATACAAAACTTGACACTGGTGCAAAAAAAAAAAAAAAAAAAATTACTTCTATTGGTTGTAAAAAGGGTTTCGACTAGTTTTCACAATTTGTTTAAATTTGGATGCAGCTGCTCCGCAGTTGCAGTTCCAGTTGCATCTGCAGCATATTGTTGGCCAGATACTCCTCCAGCTACAGTTACAGCTCCCGATCCCATTCCAGCTTCTGCCTCTGGCTCTGCTTTGGTGGCGCGCCTGCGCGTCGTTTGCCTCAGTGCGTCATTGTGGCGCCCCACTTTGGCAGCAGTGTTGCTGGTGCTGGTGGTGTTGATGTTGTTTGCTTGTGGCTCCGTGAAGAATGGATGATTGAGAGCCTCCTCGGCGCTGATGCGCTTATGTGGATTGATCTCGAGCAGTTGACCGAGCAGATCGTAGGCACTCTCCGGAAAGCATTCGTAGGGATCGAGTGGCTCCGTCACATATAAGGTCTCCTCGCACAGGCAATTGAAGGAGTATTGATCACAGTTCTTGCACATAAGGATGCGTCCATCGGCCGATTCATATTTGCGCACCATCCGCTGATCGCTGAAGATGAGCCGATGCCGGAATCGCAGGCACAGGCTACGCAAATTCAATGGTTTCGATCGCTGGCTAAGCGTCACCATGCGCTCCAAGGCGAGGGCCGTTTTGCGTATGGCTCGATCACCAAAGATGGTCACAATCTCGGCCAGTGCCACAAAATCATTGGGCGCCTTAAAGAACGGATACACCGACGAGAGTATCGATAGAAAGATGACACCCGCCGCCCACACATCAACAGCGGTCGTCTGATCCGCATACTTGAGCAGCACCTCCGGCGGCCGATAGCCGGGTGTGCCCGCTCGCGATGCATGCACCTCCTTCTTCATCAGGCAGTTGAGGCAAACGCTCGGATTGGCAAAGCAAAAACATTTCGATCCGCTCAAGGCACCACCGGCAGCTGCAGCAGCAGCACTCGCACCACCAACAGCACCACTCGCACCGCCAGCTGTGCGATTTGTGTTGTATTTACTAACGGATGGTGCACTCTGTTCCGGTTGCTGTATGTTGCTCGGTAGCTGTGACGGCATCTGCTGCTGATTGCCCGTCGCCTGATTGGCCGAGACAGTGGCATCTTCGTTAAGCGCCGACTGCTGCTTGGCAGACTGTGCAGCAATCGCAGAATTTACAGGCTTGAGCGGCATCTTGTTCCAGTTGCTCACCGCCTGGTCATCGATGAGCCGCATCCGCTTGACGGCGCCACCAAGTGTTGCCTCCATCGTCGTCGTCGTCGGCAGTTGTTGCTGCTGCTGATTTGAGTTCACTTCGCGTTCCCTCGGCCGCTTGCTGCTGTTGCTTAACATAGCCTTGCCACTGCCACCGCCACGCAATGCCGGCTGCTGCTGCTGGAGCTGGAGGTGAAGCTGTTGCTGCTGAGAGACATTCACATGCTGAGCGAGACCAAAGTCGACAAGCAGAAATTGGCCCTGCCGGCGATTGTACAGAAAATTGCTGGGCTTCACATCCCGATGGATGACATTGAACTTGTGGACATGTCGCAGCGCCTGGAGCAGATTGTGCATATACAAACGAATCTCCGACACATCCATTTTCGTATAGAAATCGTGAAAACGATCGTGCGGCATGTAGGGCATCACAAAAGCCGCCGATGCCTCGTAGCGCAAACAGCAGTGGACGCCAACCACGTTGTTGGTGCCCCTGCAACGATGCGAGAATTGTGAACGAGATTAGTCAATATATATATATGGAATCTGGAAACTGTAATATAATGATTCCTATGTGGATTGTCTACCAACTGTTGCGTGTTGGCAATTCAAGCAGGGATTTAAACAGAGACAACAACTCAACAAATGAACTCCCTCATGATGGGTGTATTATCTGATAGATATCAGCATGCCTCCTCCTCCAATTCCACCTCCCCCTATTCCTCCTCCCGTCCTGTCGATTGCAACATTTTTGAAACATTATTTCGAGATGACTTTCAATCTATGCTTGTCCAAATTTCACTCTCAAATAAGTCAGCACCATTTCGTCGTCAATTCGTCATAATTCTGGCGAAATCTTGACACAGCGCTATTAGCAATACTAATAATATAAATGAATTTATATATAATATATATATTATGTATATTTATATTTACAGATATATATATAACTTAAAGGTGGTTGAGATGAGGTCATTTCGGCTGCTTCAACTTAAGTGGGAGGATGTCCAGGGCGCCCACGTCAACTGGCGACTGGCGAAGCACCGACGTCACAGCAGTGATTATTTCACATAGGCCCCATTCCCCATCTCTCCCTTAGAACACATCCGCCCGCACCCATCTCCCCCAATAGAGGCAGCACAACTGCGCACGACCCAATCCGCATCCCCGTGTCAAATGTAATTATTATCGCTGTGACGCAACTGGGCAACGGAATTTGCGCAAATTGAATGGCAACGGAATAGAGCAAGATATATACATAAATACATATATATAAATATGTATATATGCATGAACAGATGTACGCAAAGAGCGAGCGAGAGAGAGCGGAGACTTCAGTTCACTGGCATACACAGACAGACGGACAGAGAGATAGACAAACCGGCCGGCTATCATTATTATTATTATTATTATGAGTGTGTTCCACTGAAAAAGAGTGAGAGAGGAATATGCCTGAGGGAAATCCAAGAGTGCTGGCAGCCAATTGGTAATTGGTATTTGGGTTAGCTGTTATTTGTTGCCGATAACCTTGCTCAAGGTAGTTCAAAGCGGTATTTAACGGTTCTTCTACGTCATCGGCCAGTCATTGAGATATATATATATATATATATGTGTGTGTGCGTGTGTGAATTGGCCACTTATCTAATCTTAGGCAAGCAGCACACAGTCTATCGATAGCAAACACAAGTGTCCAAGGCTTGTAATCGATAATTATTTTGAGATTATGCATTTGAAGGATATGCAAGCAAAACTAAATTTCCTTGCGCACATTTTAATTCTTACATAAATGTGTGCAACTGTGCTTTTACGTATAAACACAGAATAATATTTATATACTTATGCATATGATTTGTAAACAAACGTAACAAGTTTGTCTAGCGAGCGAGAAAGAGAGAGAGAGAAGAGTGCACGTGAATGGTGTGTGAAAGTGCAATAAACGTTGGGCCAATGGCAACGCTAGCCGCAACTTAAATAAATTGCAATGACGTATGTACATAGGTATCTATATATGTATGTGTGTGTGTGTATGTATGTGTGTTGTATGCATGTATGTATGAGTGTGTGTGTGTGTGTGTGTGTGTGTATGCATGTATGTATGTATGTGTGTGTGTGTATGCATGTATGTATGTGTGTGTGTGTATGTATGTGTGTGTGTGTATGCATGTGTGTTTGGATGTTTGTAGCTTCGGCTGACGTCGTTCGTGACGCTCTAAACAAAAAATCAGAAATTAAGAACAAAAAAAAAGGGAACAGAAAAAAAGACTATCAAGTTTTGCTTTGGTTTGGAGTCGCGTCAGAGTCGGGTGCAGATTGAATATTGCTTGATGATTTATTGATATTTTATAGATGGATCATACAACTAGCTGGATCGTACATACCCCATATCTGTCATGCATTGCAGCTCCTTCATAATGCGATCCGGGTGACTGGTGGGTATATGATGTTTGATCGCAAACTTGCGCCGCATTCCGTCCGGCAGTTGTGCCTCCCGCTTCAGCGTTGCCAGCAGCACGGTGCTAAATGTACCGTTGCCGATGCGACTCTGCACATTGAATATCTGGCCAATGTCCGGTATGCGATGCAGCAAATCGCTGATGGCCTCTGCGATATATATACATATATGCGATGTTAGTATGTATTGATTACTATACTCGATTCTTGTAAAATCTGGCAGCACTTAACTCCCATCTCTCTCCCCTCACCCAGTCACTTCTTGTTTCTTTTGAGCCGAACTCTATCAAGCGATGTTCGATATATTTTTTATTTTTTTTGGATGATCCAAACTTCTAAAAGGCAATTGAACTTTTTTTGTTTTTGGGCTTTATCGTTTATGTTATCCTTATATATGAACATTGTACTTTTTCATCGTATGTGGTACATATTTTTGTCTTTCTATTTTGTGTGTACAAAATTCATTTTTTCCAAGTGGCAAACGAAAGTTGTGCACAAAAATAGATTTCGAAGCGACAGACAGACGGACAGTGTTGTGCCGTAGCAAAAGAATCATATATGTATGTAAGTAGATATGCAAACATACAAACATACGTATGTATATTGAAGAACAAACGGAAAAGAAAACAAAATGGTGGCTTGCCGTTTACCTTCGCTTTTGTTGCGCGGCTTCGTCCTGCTGCTGTTGTTGCCCAACGCATATTGTTCCAGCGTCGCTGCTGGCGTCTGTTTCTGGAGCCTCAACGCATTGTTGCCATTATTATTATTATTATTGTTGTTGTTGTTGATGTGATTGTACTGCTGCTTATGATTAAATGTTGCTGTTGTTGTTGTTACTGCTTGTTGTTGCTGTTTGTTGATGCGAGGTGAAAATGTTGTTGTTGTTGGCGGCATTGACACATTGACACTGAGGCCCTGAAATCTAGCCAATTTGGGACTAGAGTTGCCATCGATTGCTGATTGCGGTTTGTTGCCACTGTCGCTGCTGTTCCCGTTGCTGCCTATCCGCGTTGCAAGTGAGAGTTTGATAGTGGTGGTGATGGCAGCAGCAGTAGCAGCTGCTTCTGCTGATGGTGGAGTAGAAGCTGCTTCTGCTGATGGTGGAGTAGCAGCTGCTTCTACTGATGGTGGTGCTGCAGCGAGTAGAGCCGTGGTGCTTCTCCTGCTGCTGCTGTAGGCGATGTCGTAGGCATAGCCGGAACCGAAAGTGATGCGCTTCTCCATTGTCCAGGCGTCGTTCGCATTACCAATGGCACCAATGCCACCATCGGCCTGAGATGGTTGTGGATCGGGTTGTGGTTGTCGATGTGGATGTGGAGCGGAGCGTATCGAGTTGGGAATTTTGCTGCCGTTGTCCGGTTTGATCCGCTTTCAATTGACGCACAGCTTTTCTTTTTTTTTTCTTATTATTTTTTTTTTGCCGCCCTGCAGTACGAATGTACTTAAAAACACATTACCATTTTGAGCACAAAAAAAAATGTTTTTTTTTTCTTTTTGCTTCAGCCAAACGTGATTGTTGAGCGCTGTAATTTAACTGAGTTTTTGCTTTTCGAACCGTATACTTTTTTACTCGATTCTGAATCGAACCGATTCTGTCGTGTCTTCTGCTGCTCTGCTGACGCTCCCACTGCCAATCGCATATAGCGTGACGTACATACAGCGAATCACGCACGATGTTTGGCGAATATGAACAGAGGGAATAGTTACCTCTCCGCACCACTTGCCGTATTATCGAATAATATGCGCCACCATACGGTATTCTTTACTCACTCTTTCGTTTATTTGCCCATTACAATCATTTTCAGACAACGCGAGCTTATCGGCCAGCGATAAACGGCGACCAGCTGATTGCAGTGTTGCATATCGTTAGCATATTGCTTAGCCACCTCGTCTTGTATATCGATTACCTAAAATTCAAATTAATATTCATTACTGCAATTTCATTCTAATTTAAGGGCGCAACAGTAATAATAATAATCGGCGTAAATAATTGGCATGCATAAATTTAATGTAAACTTACAAAGGTGATTAAAACATACAATTGGATTGGTTAAAAAATAAACGGAAAATTTTGAAAACGCCAGCGTTAAAATTCAACGGGCGTTATATTACAAATATTGGGGCAATTTTGCCGATTGCCTATCCACATTAATATTTCGAATACATGGCATACATAAATTCCATAAATACTTACAAAACTGACTAAAACGTAAAAGTACAATATTTTTTTACAACAATTGGAAAGGTAAAAAAAAAAGAAAAATAAATGAACTAACGCAAACTTTTGAAAACGCCCGCGTAAAAATTTTACGGTGCAATAAATAAATATTATAAATAACAGAAATTAACGCAAAAGATTGCCAGTCGGACGCGCCATAAGCATATATTTGCTATCGGCTATCTCATCTAATGTATGGTTGGGATCACTGCAACGGGCACACGGCCCAAATAGACGCAACAAAATGCGAGAAGCCAGCGACTTCCGCCTTCGGTCTAAATGCAGCCCGGTAATTTCGATCTGAGTGCTGGTGCTGCTGTTGGTGCCATGTTGATCAACTTCGATGGCGGAGTCATTGCTGCTCGGATCGCTCCTGGCCCAGTTGTTAGTTGTTGTTGTTGTAGCAGTGAGGCGATTGCTACTGGTTGGCGGCAAGTTGACGCCAAAGTCAACGCCATCGTTGCTTGCTGTAATTGAATAAAGAAACATAAGATATTATATATCAATCATATACCATTTTCTGTCCTGAAAACTCAACTAGTATTATACAAAAAGGCAAATTATTTAAAAATGATTTTAGCTTTTCACATATATAACACTTAATTTTTTAAAAATAATATCTAATATACTTTGAGAAATTCGAATTTGTTGCGCTGTCCAACTAACATTTTTAACTTTTAACATTTTGGACAACTCTACTCATCTCAACCATTATTATAAAAATAGCAGTTAAATTTTGAAAATGCAAAACGCATATATGCTAATATGTCGATATTAATAATATATGTATATATAAATATATAGATATATCTACTTATCGTAGCCCTTACCAATTGCGTTAGCCTCCAGTTGGGCGCCGTCGTTGATGAAATCTTGCAAGTGAAGCCTGCGAGCCGCCGGCGACATATTGAGCATAGGTAATTCAGTAGAACCAACGCTGCTGCCCAACGTGATGTCAGTCAAATTACAATTGGGATGTGGCTGTGGAGTTGCGTTCGCCGCAATTGCTGGTATGTCCGGCATATCGGAGAAGCGAAAAATGTGCACGGTGTGCAACAGCAGCGGCGGCAAATCGGTTTGGGTCGCCTTGGCCACGCACTGTCTGCTTGGCTGGCCGTAGATGGTCGGCAAAAAGGAGCGGCCATCATTTGACGCGGCAAGCTTGTCGGACGATAGTCGCTTGAGCTTATCCTTGCAATCGGTAAGTTCGGTGCGTACCGATTCAAAGTTGCGACGCAAGAGGATGTGATCGTTGGACTTCTTGCTGAGGCGGGCCTCCAGGAAATCGTTGTACATCTGCAGAGTGTCCTTTTCGTTGCTGAGGCGCTCAAAGCTCTCGTCGCGCGTATTTGTGTCCGCTTCGCTGCTGTGCGCCGTTGACATCGATTCGTCGTCGTTCAGCTTGGCCTGTGTGAGCGATTCGGGCATGGAACGATGCCGTTGAAACGTGTTCGATGGATTGCGAGGCTGCTTTGCTGCCTGCTCATCGAGATCCCTAATGTATTTGCGCACCTTACTGGTCACGTGCTTGTAGCGCCGCTTCGTGTATGCCGAGTGTATGTCCTGATAGGATACGGCCTTGCTACTGCGTTCACTGCCCAACTTTGGATGCGTCGAGGCTCCTTCGTCGTCCTCACATTCATTATTAGCCTTGTTGTTATCTGCGTCAACGGATGGCATTATCAAAATGAGTTTTCAGTTTTTTTTTTTTGCTTACCATGTTTGTTGTCTGCGTGGTGGAGTCCCACGGGATCACTGGCGCACGTGTTCTCCGAGCTGTTTAAAAATTGCGAAGCGCCGCGCTCAAAATTATCGGCCTCGTCGAGGTTCAGAGAGAAGCTGTATTGCCGTTGCAAGTTGCTTGTGTTTTGCCGGGCGTTCAGCTTATCAAATAGCTCATCGGCGGGAAAACTTTCATCCTCCAGACTCATGATTTATTTTATTATATTTTTTTTTCAAAATCACACAGAGCTCACACGAACATACAAATGGAAAACATACTGGAAAAGCACCGTTTTGATAAGCGTTGCCAGAAATGACTACTAGGTCTCTAAATATGAAAATAGACCACTATATATATGTAAATATATATTTAACTATATATAACTACTTTGCTATGATATTATATCAACACTTATAGCTTTGTCCGTTATAGCAAATTGTAACTATTTATATTTTTGAATCGACCATGAACTTGGCATATTCAAACGTCGTGAGCGGCATATCGATATATTCAACGTATCGATATATTGCTAGAAGAAGCACATCCATAAGCCGGCGTCATTGTTGCTCGAAATTTCTTCTCTACAATTACACATTGCTCACGTTTTGACCAAGTGTGATCCACTGAATACAAACAGCAACAATGCCCGTGGAACAGGTGAGTTTAAATATGTAATTTAACAAGAGGCAAAACAAACCCCATCGTTCGATTCCAGCTGAAGGCCGATGTCGCCGAATTCGCCGCTTTGTTGGAGCAGGCGAAATCTGCGCGTGTTAGAGGAGCTTTGACGCAGGCCAAGGCGGAGGCGGAGCGTGAAATTAACAATCTGGAGATCAAGGCATGCCTGGCAGCGGAACGCCAAACGTCTGGCGGTGATACAAAACGGTAAGACTAACGGTTTACAATTTGCTATTTTGCAAATAACAAATAAAATGCATTTTGTTTGCAACGCACAGTTATTTGCATGAGCTGACGGACTACGGCTGGGATCAGAGCGTTAAATTTGTGAAGCTTTTTATTACATTGGATGGCGTACAGAATTGCGCCGAGGAAGCTGTCACCGTTAACTACACGGATCACTCGCTGCAGCTGCACGTGAGCAATCTGAACGGGAAGGACTTTGGCCTTTCCGTCAATAATCTGCTGTATGCCATCGATGTGGCGAACAGTTATCGCAAGGTGAAAACGGACATGGTTGCGATATATCTGAAGAAGGTCGAGGAGGGTCAGAACTGGGATGTGCTCACATCGATACAGAAGCGGCTCAAGCAGAAGCAGGACAGCGAAATGGCCAAGGACACTGAGAATCCCGAGGGGGCGCTGGTCAACATCATGAAGAAGATGTACAACAGCGGCGATTCCAAGACGAAGCAAATGATTGCAAAGGCCTGGATCGAGAGCCAGGACAAGGCACGCCTCAATCCGGCCGAAGGCGGTTTTGGCAATCTGGGCGATCTATAAGTAGTATTTAAAGGAGAGCAATCAATACACGATACTATATACATATGTACCCTATATATATTCCTCATTTGTTGATTGTAATCGAATATATATGTATGCGTTTGTGTATTTAAATATAGTTCGAAGTAAACAAAGGAAATCGTTGGTCTTTTTCTCAATCTTTTTATTATTTCACATATTTTGCAGCTAGCAGAAAATGTGACATGTTTAAATTTAGTACGGATGTGCATGCATTAATTAATTGCCTGTCAAAATGCAGCGCAAGTCGCCTGATTATTTCCAATTAGATGCAGATGCACTAGCTAATTTACTTTGACGACAGGTGAGCGGAGCCACAACGGACAACAGCGTCCTTAATGACTCCACTTCTATAATTAAGCAAAATGCTTTCGGTGCCAGACGATGCCAGATGATGATGCACTTGGCAAGTACCTTTTCGCTTACCAACCAAGCAACCAATTCGCCATGCGAGATTGGCAACATCAGCGAGATGTGAGATATGTGAGATACACATACAGTTTATGATCTGCAAATAGAATCAACTGACAGACATATGACAATTGTGATTGGGAAAAGGAAAACCAAATCGTTTTGTTTTTCTTTTCGTTTTTTTACTAGTATATAGGCGTATTTATTTATTAAACGTTTGTGATTAAAATCAATAATGTTTCTGTTTCTGTTGTTGTTGTTGTTTGCATACATACATATTTGTAATCTATTCCATTTTTAATAGTTAGTTTGCTTTAAATGATTTAATAATATTTAATTGTATTTAAAATACATTTTATATGTTTTGCGTTTTATCAATTTCCAACAAAAAAAAAAACACACGAAATTGAAAAAAAAAATTAGAGAGCAGCATAATAAATTGACAGTAAGTCAACACAGCAGCAAATACACATAAAAGATACATTTCTTTTTTAAATCAATCGTTTTTTTTTGTTTTTTCTTTTTTCTTCTAAATTTATATATATTTTAAATGTGCGTGTGTTGTAAACAATTAAATTGTCGTTTTGCTGAAATTAATTTGCAGTGTTATCGTTTCGATTTGATCTACATATGTTTTTTGTGTATATAGTTAGGAGCTTAGGTCCTCAGATATAGTAGAGAATACATATGTGTTACATTTGGGCATATAAATACGTTTGCCTGTTGTTTGAAATACATTTGGTTTACGTTACAAAACTGAAAAGAAGTTCGACTCGAAATCATATACATATTACATTAAAAAAAACATCGAACACAAGGCGTCAAAGATTGAATAGTGGAGCGTATTCATAACGTAAGGATACATATATTTATATATATTAAATACTTATATGCATACATTCAAACACATATATGTACACATCTTAATAAAGGTACGACGTACTAAATATGTTAAATTTGCTATCAAAAGAAGCAAAAACCCAAAAAAAAAAAACTATTATAAGAAGAAAAAAAATACATTTTTATGGTTATTTGTTTTTTACACATATTTATACCGTATGGATGTGTATATATTTCCACGAAATTAAGATAATCTTTTGTCAAATGATAACTGTAATCGAACACTTGTCCGACCTAATTATATGGGGATTATAAGTTTAGCATAGTATGGTTATGGGACTCGATCTATATATATATATATATATATATATATATATATATATATGTAAGTATGCATAAGTATATGTGTGTTGTGGTAATTAATTAATCGAGTAATTATTAAGGGAATTACTTAACATTTTTTATAAATTTGTGACCGCCGTCTACATTGCTGTAGTATTTTTTTTTATTATATTTGTTTTTTTTTTTTTATTATTTGTTTTTGTGTATGGGTTGTAAATGAAATTAAGTTCGGTCTTTGCCTTTTCTAAGTAAAGCACCAAAAATTTAGTTCAACTCTCTGTTTTTCTTTTCGATACTTTCATGTGTCCTAACTAAGACCATATACATTGTATATATATATATATATATATATATACGAATGTATGTATATATTCTTTTGCGTTTTATCTATCATGTCGTATCGTATCGTATCGTATTTTGTATGTGTAAAATTGAATTTTCGTTAAAAGCTTCTCTTCCCCCATATTATTTTGATTTTGTTTTTTTTTCACATTGATGGCTTTTGCTTGAGTATAAAAATAAATGTTCCTTTTTCTAAGACTATGCTGGAAAAAAATTCATCGCACACACACACACAACACACACACACACACACACGCACAACAATCAGTCCTAATTTGATACTTTTATTACGCAAGTATCTAGATACATTTCCTCTTTAATTGCATTATTATTTTTCAGCCTATATACAACATCTTTGTATGTGGGTGTGTGCGGTATATATATATATATATATATATAAGTGTGTGTGTGTGTGTATGGAGTAATCGTAAAACTTCTAGAAAATTATGCGGTTTCTATGTATGTGGTTGCTTCTAAGATCTATCACGAGAGCAATGCATATGTGTAAGTAAGTTTTGCTTAGTTTAATATCCTATACGACACAGAAATAAAGAATACCTTGAGTGGTAAGAGTAAGAAGATGAAACGGTTAAGTTTTAGTTTAAAGTCTCAATTTGGATTGTTAATGGTTTGTTGGTTGTGCACTCCTCTTTCTCATCTTTTCTTCCCTGTGAAGGCACGCAGTTCAAGAGCAATCGCTTAATGCAAACTAACGAGCAGCGAGTAACGCGTAACGCGTAACGCGCAACGAGTAACGAGTACGGAATCAAATGCGTTATGCAGCAGTTATATACTTTATAGATTATAATTGGAAAAGATTAGTTGTCTGTACTATAGGAATACTCGCTGGGCTTGAGTAGCGAACAATATGTATTATTTGCACCGAGTGAGCAGATAAGTAAAGTAACGAGAGCGAGTAGTAGGAAACTGAAGCTGAAACTGAAACACAAATTTACGGGGGATCTGATGAGGCAGTTACTGTTTGCTCTTCTTCTCGAACGTTTCTTAGATTTGATTACGTAATGTTTTCCTAGAGATAGACGAGTATATTTTTTTGTATTTTTTTATATTTATTTTTATGTGTTGTATATGCGTTGAGGTTTATTGGAACGGTTCCATTAGCTTCAATAACATTTGATTCGGTTTGGTTCGGCTTGGTTGGGTTCGGTTCAATTGGAATCAACGAACTAACGAACAATTGAACAACCGCACAGACGGACAATTCCAGCTTGGCCCTAACATTAACTTAAGCTCTAACTTGAATCCTTGAATCCTTCAATTCAGCAACCACATTCACATTCACATTCACAATTCTATTCATATTCATATTCATATTGCGACCGTCGTCGCCTCTCAGTAAACAGTTGGAAGTAGCTTAACATGTGGCCTGGTTCTGGTCCTGGTCATTGGCCGGACGCTGGGCGTCCGCGCGTGCCGTTAATAAAGCTCCGTGTGATGACGAACTGGCGCCGGAATCTTGGACATGCCACGTTCTCGTCGCGGCGACACCATCGCCGCTGTTGCTGCACCCGCCGAGTTGTTACTGCCACAGGATGAGGCACCCGAGCTGCGCTTGGAGCGCGCTTTTGCCGGCGGCGAGCAGCTCTCGGATCGCTCCAGATTGCCATTGCTGTGCACCCACGCCGTGGTGAAGTCCTCATAGACGGGCGTCTTCTTTCCATTGCAATTGCTTGGACTCGGACGCGGCTGCTGCTGTTGCTGCTGCTGCTGCTGCTGATTGCCGGCTGCATAGCGGGAGAGCAGTGTCTTCATCTTCTCCAGTATTTGTGCATCGTTCTTGGCACTGCTGGCCGCTTCGAGGAGCTGTTGGGCCAGCGGCGATGAGGCATGATTCTTCACCGGCGACGTTGTCAATGAGCTTGTGCATCCGCGCACCCGCCGCCCATTGCTATCGTACAGGATGTGCGAGGAGCGCGTCTTCGAGCCACGCTCGAACGGAGCTGGCGATGTGGCTGCAGCCAGCGGCGGCGCAAATGTGTCCGCATTGATGGTCGGCCGCTTCTTGTTGGCCACTGTTGGCGTTGCTGCACTGCGTCCACCCCACGTATTCGTCACATCCCGCACCAGCGGCAACTGTGATGCTTTCACCGTTGCCGGGCCTGGGGATGGGGACGGCGACGGCACGAGAACGGGAACGGCGACGGGGGCTGGGCGACGCACGGAGCGATAGACGGGCTGTTTGCGACTGAAGACGCCGTTTTGGGGGGGAGGGGGCCGTGTGCTTAGATCCTGAAGACTGCCACCGGCACAGGTGGCATTATCAATGCTGCTGCTGCGACGACGACGTCGCTGGGCAAGCGGGGAGCGGGGTATTTTACTGCCTTGCGATTGTGGTTGATTCGTTGCGGTTGCCACCAGATTATTGCCACTGTTCACATTTGTAGCCCCGTTTACATCGACATCCACATCGACATCGACATCGACATCGACATCGGTTGTCACCGTAATCTCGTCATCGTCAATGTAGACGCCAGACTGCTCAAACTTGCTGCTGTGTCCCTCCTCAGCGTAGCCGGCAGCGACGCCTCTCGGCTTGGGCAGCGACAGAACGGCGGGCAGCGATTGCGGTCCATCGATCGCATCGCAGATGGCATAGTCTGGCTCATCCTTTGTCTCCACCTCCAACACCACTCGTGCTGGTTCTGGTTCTGGCTCATCTGTGGGTGAGATCTGCGAGTCGCTGGACGTTTGATCAAGACGCGCTGCAACAAAGTCGAAAGAGAGCAAAATTAACCCAATGCATAACAAATTGCAAATTGATTGCAAAAACAGCAGCTGTCTTCGGCAAGCCGAATATTATACACTCTACCCTTGCATCACTGCCCCATTTACACTTTCTCCATCCAAAAGGCATAATTTTTATCTTCTTTTCTTCATAAAAATAACTCAACACGAAAGTAACTTCTAGCTAAATAAAATTTGTTGCAATTTCTAAGGAAACATTTTCTTTCAAATATAATAATAAATATATATAAATAATAAATATATTGATTAAGTTGTTTAAAAAATACATTAAAAGACATATTTTGAATTGCGTTTTTTATAGTTAACATCAAATTTTACAAATAATTTTCATAATTTTTGTTTTTATCTGTTTGACTCCATTGAATTGATAAACTAACTTTAAAAACCGAACGAATGTTAAAAATTAGAAAAGTATATTTATAATTGATGTAAAACTTAAGTTTGAAAATTTTCGAAATACATTTGAAAACTTTGCCAGTTTTTAGAAGAAAATACTGTGGAAATATGAGTATTGCTTTCATAGATCGGCATTAGCCGTAGGACTGAGTGTTTTTGTTCTCATCATGTTTAGGGTGGGGTGGATTGGTTGGGGTCACTGCTTACCATTGGTTTCAGCGTCCTCCATGGAGGCCTGACTGTGCAGGGACTCGCGCTTCTGTGCATTGGACTGAATGACGCCCAGGCTGCGGTAGCCCTCGTCGCTAATCTCGCTGCCATTGTCGCTGATGTTCTCGAACTTGCTGCTCTGCTCCGGCTGCTGGGCGCCATTGGCAATCGTTGCGGATGCGCCAGTTGCGCCAGTTGTTGCCTCCTCGCAGCTGTCGCCGGCAGCAGGGGCAAGCGGCAGGGATTTGGGTCCATCTCTGTGGTAGGTGTCGAGGGAGCTCTGCTTCTTGCGCATATCGATCAGCCGCCGCTGGCTGGGCGACATGGAGCGGCGGCTCAACATGGGTGAGCCCGTCACCAGGTCCATGTTGCAACTGCTGGCATTGGCATTGGCATTGGCATTGGCCAACGCATTATTATTTGTCTGATTGAGATACTTGCGCTGCGGCGTCGGACTGCGACTGCGATGCTTAACATTCGATGTGGTCTGCACTCCGCCAGCGGCCGGCGATGTGGCTCCCGATCCACTTGCACTTCCATTTCCACTTCCAGCTGACATAATGCGGCGTGCTGCTGGTGGTGAGCTGTAAACGAATCGATTAAGATGACTTTGCGGTTAAAGGGGGGAGTCTTTGGGATGGACCTGCTTGGCAGGCTTACACCTCGTCTAAGAAATCCCTTTGGTCGACCCCATTGTGGAAAAGCATCTGCAACCCCATACGCTATATATATTCGTGATCAGCATTAATAGCCGAGTCGATCTGTCTCTTCAAATTTCGAATACAACTTCTCGTCTCTACCTATCAATAAGTCTGTCACAGGATCGACAGGATGCCGGAACAAATATTATCAGTTTTGGTATTTGGGTTATACAAAAATGTTGAATTTAGTTTCCAATTACAGATTTCACTCGTTTCCATTCTGATCAAAAACTATTTCAATTAAGTGTATCAACGATATAAGTATATTTTTTTATAATTCTATGCCCTTGAATCGACATGGTTTTGTAACGTTTAACTATTTTACTGAACACTATAAATATTATCTTGAAACTATCAATAACAATTCCAACTAACCGGAAATGCTGTAAATGCTACAAATAGCTCTATCATAATACATTGATTATAGCAATGCGCGCACAAATCAATTATCAATTGTTGGATTTTAAAAATACTTATTTGACTCAACAAAAAGGGAACAAAGAAAGAAAGACAAAATCAAACCGAAATTAAATCGATAATTTATATTTTATTAGAGGTATTTGCCCATAATTTTGATAACGTTGTAATCTACACAGAAATAATTTAAAGGGCGCCACCAAATCATCATCTGATACGGTCTACATTTATATCAACTTGTTAAAAGTATAAATTACGTGTATAAATAATAATAAATGTCTCAGTTGTATTAAGGATGCAGTTAATTGCAGACAGACAGAAGGAGAGGAGAGAAGCAAAGCTAGTTTGCCACATCAATTGTGAGTGTATTCATGAATAAATGAGTGCATTTAGCGCAATCTGGACTACCAACTTACTCCTGCATCTAGTCTGAGTGCCTAATGGCGCTCCCTAATGGAGCACTCAAGCGATTCTGCCTGTGCCCGATTCACTGATTCTTCTCTATCCAACTAATTGTCTAAGCAAAGGGGGGGCGAGAGCAGTGGGAGTGGGGATAAATGCATCATTAAGTGGCTTTATGCGTGCAATTAGCAATTGGGGGAAGGGGTTGAGAAGCACTTAATGCATTTGTCCGCCCATAATGGTCGGTCGTCAACTGTATCTGTATCTGTCTGTTTGGCTACTGATTAACAACAAACAAACCCGCCCCGCTTCCCACCGCTCCAACTCACCGTTCGTATATCACATGCGCCTTGTGCAGCTCAATGCCATTGCCGGAATTGGTCGTGTTGCGGGTCATGAGGCGCGCCTGTATGGAGCTGCGATGCTGGGCACGACAGCGGCAAGGATCATGCTTGTCCAGATAATGGGAGAGCGTATCCCAGCCGCCGCCCACACGCACCATGACATGGGAACGCAGAATCTGTCACATTGAAAATTGAAAATAAGTAACGAAAATTGCAAAATATTATCAAAATATTATTAGTATTTTTCAAAAATGATTTTATATTAATTAGATGTCAATCAAAGAGATGACAGAGTTAACTTACCCGCACAAAGATGAGCACTTTGGTGTCGCCAATGCGATATTTGCCCTCTGACACGCGCACCATGGGAAACTGTGAGGGGCATGTGCATTTCTCGACCAAATCTCTGACCTGCAAGCAAGCAAGCAAGCAAAACAATTGCATGTGTCAAATGTTGGATGTCTTTGATAGGGACATAAGCAGCGGCCAACAGGCTGACCCCGAGGCAGGCCAACACGGGCCAGACCAGGCCAGGCCAGGCCAGGCCATTGCATAAGATTAAAGAGAGATCCCACCGAAAGGCAAAAAGTCGCAATGCCTTGTTTTTTGTTTTGTATTCACTGCATAAATTCACGCGCTGCTATTGTCCGAACAAATGATCAAACAAATGAGCGGAACAGCCAAACAGTCAGATAGCCAAACAGTCAGACAGACAGACAGACAGACAGAGAGACAGACAGAGCTCCCAGTCACAGACCAGACGACAGATCAGGCCCCAGAGCAACTGGCTCGCTTCGTTTTGTTTCATTTGGATTTGGGTTTGGGTTTGGGTTTGTGTCTGTCTCTGTAGGGAGTCGGAGAGGCAGTGGCTTGACTACTAGTCGGCTACTTTGCTATTTGGCTAGTTGGCTACTGTGCCGCTGCCTTTGACAGGCCTTTCGACTTGGATACAAACACAAAGTGAAGCTGGCCAAAAAGAGCTGCTGCTTTGAGGCGGCGAAACAGACAAAACGCATTTGCACCTTTGAACTTCGTTAGTTAGTTGCCTGGTTGCCTGTTGCAGGAGTTGTCTTCAACTAAGTGGGAACTGTGCCACAGCTGCTGCTGCTGCTGCAATGCGTGGCTCATGGATCGAGCCACGATACTAGAGATGGGTGCACTAATCAACAATTGAAGCTCTTTTCAAATGGGTTACTTATCTATACATGAGAAAATACTTATATATAAATATATATATGTATTTAACAATTTCTTAAATTATTCAAATATTAAATATTTTATCAATCTTATAGCATGTTACGTGTGCTTTGCATAATTTGGAAATAATTTGTCAAGTTATAGCTAAAGTTGGGTTCCAAAATATATTCACATCTTATCTCATATTTGTTTTCTTCCAAGTTGAACTCTTTAAATTTGAATGCATTTTTGAAATTTAAATCTTCCAAATTGTGTTCGTGACACGAGAGACTGAGCAGTAACTGGCGAGCAGAGGAGGCGAGACGAGGCGAGGCGTAGCCGTGTGGCAAGACGACATCACAATAAATCTAACATGGCGATAAGCCAGCAAAATGATCTGGCAGGCGGCGCGCAGATTTCCAATCTATCGAGAAGTGGGGGAAGTTTGGCAGGGGAAGCCAAGGGAAGGCAAGGGAAGGTAACGGCGTGACTGTGACGCATGCAAGATTAGCTGGCGCTGGCAATGGCTGTTGTTGTGACTCTGCCTCTGCCTCTGCTTCTGACTGTGACTGTGACTGTGGCGCTGTGATCCTGGTCAGGCCATAAATTGCAAACAACAACAGCAACAGCAACTGCAACTGCAACAACAACTGCAATAGCAACAACAACAGCAACAGCAACAACAATGTTGACGACGATGCGGACGTGCCAAACGGCAGCGACAAATGATTCGTGGCTGGTTTGCAGCATGCTGTAAGCTGGAGTTGCAGTTGCAGCAGCTATGCTTGCAACAGTTGCTGCTGATGCTGCTGCTGCTGCTGCCGTGGTGGCACATCATTTGATTTTCGACAAGTTGTTGAGGCTATTTGCTGATTTGGCTGCTGCTGCTGCAGCTACAAACAAATTGATTGGCTGACTGAGTGATCGCACAGCCAAAGAGCCAAGCCAGGCCAGGCCAGGCGAAGACCAGACCAGTCCACGCCAGTCCGCGCCAGTCCAGGCCAAGACCAGGCACTCAGCCGGGCCACTTTGTTATTGTTGTTAAAGTTGTTGCCTGACAATGTTTTGGCAGCATGTGGCGCTGTGTGGTAGCCGTTGCCACAGTAAATGCAATGCGCCGTGCCACGTTCATGTCCATGTTGCGTCCAATAAATGCGCAACGATTTATCCATCTATGCAGCAGCTGTCGATCCCAGCAATCTGCTGAGAAAGTGTGGCCAGCCAAATGGGGTGGGCTGCTGGCGTTGCAGCCTGGGTTGGGGAAGTGGTGTGCATTGTTTGTGCCATCGTCGTCATCGTCATCATTGATGTCAATGTTGCTGGCGGCGTGAGGAAATGTTTGCATGGCTTTTCATTAGTTTTCCGATTTGCCTGACTGCCTGCCTGCCTGCCTGCCTGCCTGCTTGCTTGCCTGGCTGCCAGTTTGTCTGTTTGTCTGTTTGCCTGCTCCTCAATCCTTAAGCGTTGTCCATTGTCGGTTGTTGCCGCTGCTGCTGCTGCTGCTGCTGCTGCTGCATGTTGCTGTCGTCGCGCAATCGCTTTGCTCGCAGTCACACTTGCAATTACCATCGACAATTGCGATTGTTGTAATTGTTGTTGGCACATTTGGCGCCATCGGGCGAACAATCGAACAACCGAACCGAAACGGAACGGAATGGAACGGTAGCGATGGGATGGAGGGAGTGGGAGGCAGTCGAACATGGAATGGGGAACACCCTAAGCATCTTATCAAATTAATTTGGGATACATTATGTGTCAACGGAGTTGAAGTTGCAGTTGGAGTTGGAGTTGGAGTTGGAGGTGAGTTGTGTGCGTTGATTCGATTTGAAAAACTTTGCATATCTGGCAGCGATAACCGTAAATTAACAAAAATATACGTTTTGTATATTAAACAAAAGATAAAAGGTGTTTGTCGAGTTCATTAGTTTGATAAAGAAATGCATCAATGAGAACTGAGACACTGGGAAACCTTTGTCATCTCGCATGCCCGGCAACACAGCAGCAACTGCGATTTAATCTATTTATATTATTTATTTGCTGTTATTTCCAGTATAATATTACTACAAATATTATTTCAATTAATTAATTAAAATGCATGTTATTTATTTGTATTGTTTGCTTGGGTCATCAAATACTTTACACTTTATAAGACATTCAAATTTGATTCTTCTAACTAATCAATAGAATTTATATATAGATTTGTCAGATCTAGCCGATAATAATAATGATATACTCTTATGATTCAATAATTGATCAACAAAAATAACAACAAAATAGCTGAAGAGCTCTGGATACAATGCTTTCAAATAATGTCAAAAAATGTACAAAGTTGCCATTAGAAAAATTATTATTAAAATTAATTATTAAGTCAAAAATTATATTTTTAAAATTATAGTGAATTGTTATTCAGCAATACAAAATACTAAATATTCAATGTATATATTTTACTTAACGGTTTGATGCTTTACGGAAATTATAGAATTGATATTGGCTAATTATTGATACCATAAAAAACTTGAGAGAACCAAAAATCATAAGGAAAACTTATAGAAATTGATAAACATTGAGATTGAGAACTGTAATGCTGAATGCTGTAAGAATACAGCTCAACCAAGCACGATTCTAGAATGCGAATAATCCAATATTTCCGATAGGTAAATCCCATAGTAGTTTTAAAGCTAAAGTTGCCTGCAACAATTATAAATTGCATTTGTTTTGTGTTTTTTTTGTTTGTTGTTTCTTTCCTATCTTCTGCTTGTTATTGTTGTTGCTGTTTGGTTTTGATTTGTTTTGCCCAAGTTTGAAACTGGAAACTTAGCCATGGCTAAAAATGGACATGAGAAAAGTAGCTATGAAAACAACAACAACAACAACAACCAGCGACAACAATAAAAAAAAAATCGTGAGGTTCGCAGCAAAAAAAAAAGTAGAAAAGTAGAAGAAAATTAAATAAAAGAGAAAACACAGTCAAACACAGAAAAGGTATAGAAAAGTGACATAAAAAGTAGTCGGGATTCGGGATACGAAGTAGTACTCAGTATGAATTGGGGTTCTCTATTGGCATTGGCATTGGCATTGGTATTTGTATTTGTATTTGTATTTGGCATAACACTTACCATCTCATCGAGACTCTTGAGATCATTGGTAATGATCTGTGGCTGTGGCCCGTACATCAGCATCGGATCCTTATCGTTCTCATCCTCGTTCTCCGTATCGCTGTCGTACAGATCCGTTTCGACGGCGACACGCTCTGCACCGACGGTTGGCGGCTCCGTTTGGGTGCCACTTTCGGAGCACCCGTTGCCGGTTTGTGTGCCACAGCCGTTGGTGTTGCACCCATTGCCACAGCCACAGGCGCAGCTGCAACCGTTTGCTTTGTTATCGGCAGCAATTTCGCGATCAATTTGTCGCTCCATTTGCACCAGCATCGGCGCTAGCATGCCTACCCAAAATATATAGATTGTATACATATTGATCAGTATGGATGAGATCCAGATAGGCAATGACAACGATCATCATCAGCATCATCATCGATTAGGCTGTGTTGCACTTACCGAATTTGGCGCCACGTCTGGCCACCTCCAGCAGACAGAGAATCACATGCTTCTCATTCTTGCGCATGATCAGATCGTCCGTTTCGAACAATAGGCACTCGATGATCTTAAGGCTCTTTCTGCAAAGATGACAAATCACAAATCACAAAGTCAATCAATCAAAGATGCACAGATCAACATTTAAGGATCAGTGTTTAATTTGATTATCTCATTGTTAAACAATGCAGCGAATTCCATTCAATCAAAATCATCATTTTTTGTCTGTCGATCTTTCTTTTGGATCAATCAATAACAAGTAATTGATTATGCTTAGTGCTGGGTAGCAGGAGGAAATCTTCAAAATTAATGGTGCAATTTCGAAATAGACTACGACAAGCTAAAAGCAAATTTGATTCCTTTTTTTGGAGTTGATTTCTTCATCGATCTTACATCGATCCCCAATCTATTCTAGTGACTCTTCTTCAAATGTTTCAGAGAAATCCAATTTCGATTGATCTCAGACTGATGTTGATTGATTGATTGATTGATTGAGTATTGCTCACCTGCACCAGGTTATAAAGTTGGAGACATTGTCGCGGGCAAAGAAGGTGCCGCTCTTGGCGGCGGGCAGGTAATGCACATTGCCCAGGGCGAGTATCGGTCCGGCCAATCCGGAAGTCATCGACCGTGTCATTGATTTGTTGCGCGCCTGTCGCCGGGCCAAATAGTCCTCCGCCGCTTGCCGCACATAATTTGCGTGCTGAAAACAAATGAAAGAGCGCATAAACAACAACAGCAACAACAACAACAATAAATTAGACACAAAAGCGACAACAACAGCAGCAGCAGCAGCAACGCAATGCGACGCGTTGCAAGTGAAAGTCAAAAATATTTTGGCTTATTTAAAAGCGCGACAAAAATCTAGAAAAAGTTTATTTTTAAGCGTCTCAAGAATTTAGCGCGGCATTTTTAGGCTGACAGCGACGGCGACGGCGACACCGAACGCTGAACGCTGAACGCTGAACACTGTGTCCTATCCACCATACCCCTTAGCCCCGTTGTACCCCTATCCACACTGCACTGCACTGTCCACCAAAAGGAGGGTAGACTCGACAGTTGGTTCGGCTGATTGAACTGGGCAGCCAACGAAACGAACACAACCAGGCCAGGGCACAGGAGCTGCGCTGACGAGGCATAATTCGAATGATGGCGCCGCAATGTTATGCATAATTAATTGACACGCAGCCACCAAAAACAAAAAAAAAAAAACAAAAAAAAAAAGAGACTCACACCCATTGAGACACTGGCCGAACACACACACACACACACACACACACACGCACATACAATTGAAATTTGCAATCACATTCACAGCGAGACACTCGTCGCTCATCAGTCATTTGGGCAAAAAAAAATCAACAAAAAAATAGGAGAAGAAAAAACCGGCACAGATCAGTTGGTGAATGGGCGGGCCTCTGACACAGATACTTAACGCATTTGTCAGCTAGATGGGGGCATCGACTATTTGCGAATTAGGTGCAATCAATAAATCATAATCATATTCCATGCATTTCGAAACATTTCATTTTCGAAATAAATTTATAAATTATTAATACATCTTTATAATTTCAAATATATACAGAAATTATACAGATCTTTTCAATGTATCTACGACATGCTATCAATCATTTCATTTTGCGAAATAAACCTTTAAATATGTAAAATATCAATTATATTATTTGTTTGTCGAAGCAAATCAGATATTATAGATGTATCAGTTATTCACATCTTTATCTTTAGTTCGAACACCTGCCATGTAAGCGTTTATAGTCTCTCGAAGAAATTCCCATACTTGGCAGATTAGATTAAATTAGATTATAGATTAATAATAATAATAATAATGCTGCAATCAACAACAATTTGTTAGTGGATTGCAAACAAACAAAATGAAATTGCATACATATAAATAAATATAATTTATTGTATGTATATGCATAACCTGTATAGATTTGATAACTTTGATTTTTCCGACTTTGCTGTTACTATTTATATATCTATCATTTACTTTAGCTGGCTTTCATTTAGATCTATTTTTCTTGCATTGATTGGGGGTTTTCCTTGCCACAAATTGAAATTGAAATTTAATATATATATTTTAAAAAATTTGTAATTTAATAATCAAACAATATCAATATCACCTGCCGAATCCTTGAAACCATATCCTGTCTGTTCATCAGTTTTAATCAGTCGGGCGACAGATGGGTTCCTTTCTGAACAACTTGTTTGTTTATCACGTTATCCCAACCAAACTCATCAGTTAAAGGTTTACAGCATAGGACTACAATATCATATGGGTTTCACAGGAACAATCGGTCGGTTTTCTTTGATTTATGGTGTCATTTTGAGTCCGGCATGCAGCTGACTGCAATAAGATAGACGCTGTATCTTATCGTAAAACCCAATTGCACTTGTTGCCTCTAATACCACAACAAATCTACAATAATATGTATTTATATATATATATATATGTGTATATATGTATATATATTATGTGTGTATGTCGATCGATTAACAATTGCAACTGTGACGTTTGCCTTTAGTCACTTTAGTTATGTCATCAACGTTGGCGCGCGTCGTTTTATTAATGCGATCCAATCCGATTCGAACCGATCGCATCCAATCCCATCCGATTCGAATTGAAGGAACCAAAAGACGCCAACAACAACAACAACAACAACAACAGCTCGTGTCGACGTGTGATGCATTTGCATTTGCATTTCAATTTACATCATCCCATATTCATTTATGCACATTTTAGTAATAATTGAATATTTGAACAATTTCAATAGTTGCCTCGCTCGTGTCGCTTATTATTATTATTATTATTTTATGTATGTCTGTGTTTTTTTGTTATAACTTCTTTTTTATGGATACCTCCACAAACTGCATTCATTCAATATGCTTTATTTGGTGTTTATTGTTTTAAGCGTTTCGTACCCTAACCCCAAACAAGGGCATCATCGCGAGCAGCTGACGTCTGCCATCTGATTGCGGCTGCAAGTGGGCGTGGCATTACCATAATTTGAATATGTATTTTAATACACACACACACACACACACATATATATATATATATATATATATATATATATATATATATATATATATATGAATAAATAGGTCTTCTCTCTCTCTCTCTCTCTTATTGGTGATCTGTTTTCTGTTAGGGTATTTGAGAGTCGTTGTGTGCCTACCGCATCGCTTCGAGGCCTCTGCCTCATCTGCTCTTTGTCTGGTATCTTCAGTTGCAGCTGTTATCATTGAACGGAACGTCAAGCTGGAAAGTGCACCAGCGCAGAGACAGAGACAGAGTTGGAGTTGGAGACAATGCCACAGACGCCCACGATGCATTTGGCCAGAGGCGTTAAATGGGTCTCGGCATCTTCGCTGCGCTGCCCACGGTCGGGCATTTGGCCTTGTGCACAGCACGCGAATTCCAGTGCACCAAATATCAAATTTATAGCCCGCATTTTATGCAACTGATTTGGGATTTTTTTTTTTTTTTTTTTTTAAGTTAACAAACCGTTTTATTTGCCACGGATCTGCTGGAGTCGACTTAAGTCTGCATATGTTCAGTTTCATAGCGCATGGCTGATTCGGACAGAGCCGAAATCAAATTTTAATTCAAATCGATACTCCCTGTGTGCGTGCGTGGCACAAGTCCACAAGGCCACTCTTGCCTCGTTGTGGCTTTATTTAGCTGTTTTTATGGATGTTGTTGTTGTTGTTGTTGCTGTTGCCTCTTCTAAGCTGCATCAGATTTTCACTTTCGAAAGCGTCGACATAGAGTCGAATGCATGAAAATCGTTTATTGTGATATCAGACTCTGGAATGGGAATTCTCCTTGCTCTTCCTCTTCCTTCTCCTCTTCCACTTCCTCGTAATCTTCGTAAACAAAAGCACGTGCAGCCAGTGCTGCCTATGCACTTGTCAGAGGTGAACTAATCGAAACTCAATGCCCAATTGAAGATTTGAGAAAAATATGTGGCAACTGATTATTTATGGATTCTGATCTGATTTTTTGAAAATCCTATAAGTGCCATTCTTTTCCTTCTTCCGCTATGCATTTGTGCATATATTTTTGAATTTTGTAATTTGGTTCCATTAACTCAAATTCAAAGTCAAACTCAAATTGGCAATCATTATAGTATCGATAGTTACATATCCAATCGATAGTCGACAGTCGACAGGAGCTGTCATCTTTCGAAAAGTTCTTTCCTTCCAATTCTCTTCTAGCGAGCAGACGTGCTTTTTTTTGGAGTGCTTAGGAATTTCTCAATTTCCGAATATTAATATTGTTTTTAGATCTCAGATTATTTGCAATATGAATCCGGAAAAGACTAACTCGATCGCTGAACAGGCCAATCAAGCATCGGGCGAGGCTGCTGCAGCCCCTTCGGGGCAAGAGTCAACTGTCGACGATGGCTTGATGGACGAGGAGCAGTTTAATCGTCGCTGGGAGGAGCAGCTGCACTTGCAGCTGAATCAGATGCACAAGAATCCGATGCGCGTCGATAAGGAGCCGGCCAAGCATCTCGGTCCGCTCAAGGAGAAGGTCATCCGCGTCGGCGAAGAGCGCGGCGACGAGGCAACTTTTGCAGATGTCATGAGCAACCAACCCCCAACGCATGTTGGCCGCAATTTTCTGGCTTTCCTGCAGCTAGCCCAGGAGAAGAAGATTACCATGCAAAAGCCCGAACATCCGGATGAACCGCTCAACCCCGAAGAGCTACGCTTCAAGCTCAATCCGCAGTCCAAGCGCAATTGAGAAATTCAATTCGAAAAATGTTCAACTCATCTTAACTCATCTCATCTGATCTAGTCACAAATTGTTCAGACAAATATTATAAACTGATTTATTAACAGTTAACAAGTATTCTGCGTAAACGTTTAATTGATTAGGTATTTTAATTGCTATCAGTTTTTCATTGGCTTAGTTTTCATTTAATTTCTGCTCTGCATTTTCATTCGCCATGGGTCATGAAGCATTAGGTGTCAGTTGTGGCAGGTGTCAGATGTCGGGTGTCGAAGCAATTAACGCGAATTTGCCAACACACTGGCAGAGGCCAGAAGTGGGCCAACTCATAACGCTAGTCGACGCTGCTGCAACTGAGTTGCATGCAACAAAGCGCAAGTACGTGACATGTGGCTGATGTGCAGTTAGAAACCAAAAGACAAAAAGAGAACGAAAGCCATTCAGGAAGCGCTGAAGATGTTGCCACATATAAGTCCCCTAACAGGGGCGTCTTGCAACTTGTGGCACACACACATACACACACACACACACACAATTAGCTTAGATTTGTCTTTTCTTTATTATATCGGTTGCTTTCTGCCTTTCTGCCCAGATGTGTGTCAATATTGCGTTAATAACATTAGGTAAAAGGCAATTGCAAAAAGCCTCTGTCGCATTACACACACACATATGCATGTCTGTGTGTGTGTGTGTGTGTGTGTTTCTATGTGTCTATTTCTGTGGGTAAAGGTGTGTATAACCGTAATGGCCGTAACAATTTTTTGCTTCCGCAAAGCGTCCACTGTAAAAATGCCAAATTAAATCAAACAAAATTAAAACGAGCTGCCAAAAAATAAAATATTAAATTCAAAATGACATTGCAAAATCAAAATAGCAACAAAAAAAAAACGCAACAAGAAAAAATACAAAAACCAGAATACGATTTAATACCCTAACAATCTCTA